CAGTTACTTTGCGAGACAGGACTAGAGTGACTCTCAAGGTGGTCCTAGTGGCATTAAGAAACAGAGAAGAGAAGCAACCAGAGAAGCAATTGGTACCTGAGGTGTTGCTGGAAGGGAATTCCCCTTCCAAACTGTAGACAATCCAATCTCTCTCCTCCTCCAGTCTCCCATACACTAAGAAGAATCTCCAATAAAGGTAAGTGTTATGCTGTTAATGTTTCATTCATCATGTCCCATTGTATTGTTTATGTACTACATGTATATTTCATGTAAAAAATTTTTTTGTTTTAATACTTCTGGGTGTCAGGAATGGAATAATTGTATTTACATTATTTCATATGGGGAAAATTGATTCGCAAATCGTAAATTTCGTTTATAGTAGCTCCTCCAAGAACGGATTAATTACGAAAAACGAGGGACCACTGTATATGTATATATGTATATGTATATATGTATATATGTATATATATATATATATATATAAATATATATATATATATATACTATTATTTTTTTTATTATCACACTGGCCGATTCCCACCAAGACAGGGTGGCCCGAAAAAGAAACTTACCATCATTCATTATAACTAATAATACAGGACCCCGTAACGAATTTTCATTCCATATATGTTAGTGCCATACTGACGAATTGTCCATAAGAATATGTGAAGTAGTCCATCAGACCCCCAACATAACTACAAACGCATTACATAATACATTACATATTGGTCGCATTTGAGTGATCGTTAGCGGGTCATGTATATATATATATATATAATTATAATATATTTTATATATATAATTATATATAATATAATTATTTATTATTTTTATTTATTATTTATTTATTTATTTATTATTCCCAATTTTGACACATACAGAGGTACAAAAAATACAGATAATGGATGCATTAGGTGCAAAGCCACTTATACTATGCATAGCATATATATAAATATAAATATATATATATATATAATGTCGTGCTGAATAGGTAAAACTGGTCAATTAGCAAGAACTCATTTAAAATTAAGTCCTTTCTAAAATTTTCTCTTATACATTTAAAGATATATTTTTTCATTAATGTTAATGTAAAAATTTATAATTTTGCATCAAAAGAATCTTAGAAAACTTACCTAACCTTATTATAACAAGAACAATTTATTTTAGCCTAACCCAACTAAATATATTTTAGATTTGTTTATAATAACTTAATACAAACACAGTGAAATGTATTTTTTTCGTTAGGTTCAGAATGATTTTGGCAAAATTATTGTATACACAAATTTTCACTTGTCGTATATGGCAAGATGAGCATTGCTATTTAAGCCAAGATCGCAAGTTCTGCCTATTCGGCACGACATATATATATATATAGTATATATAAATACACAGTGGACCCCCGACCAGTGAAGGCATCGTCTAATGAAAAAATCGCCAAAAGAAGCGTTTTAGCGCAAAAATTTTTGGCCCGGCCACCGATGAAAAACTCAACTAACATCATTCGTCCCGACTTGGCCTGTCCGTCCAGGTTGAATGAGCCTCAGCTGCCCTGCCTTCAGCTAGTGTACCATTGTTTACAAGCCAGGGCGGACTTTTTCACGCATACATGCGATGTACAGTATTTTGTATTACTCTGTTGTTTTTAGTGCTTGTAACTGCTAAATAAGCCACCATGAGCCCAAAGAAAGCTTCTAGTGCCAACCCTGTGGTAAAAAGGGTGAGAAATACTATTGTACCACGGTCAGCTGTTGCTGCACCACCGTCAGCTGCTGCTGTACCACTGTCAGCTGCTGCTGACAGTGGCTAGCTGGTCCAGTGGCTAACGCGACGGTCTGGAGTTTTGAGACTCTCTGACCGTGGAATCAAACCCCACCCGTGGTATGGTTTGTTTGCAATCGTGTCATTACGATTTCATGAATCACCAATATACCTGGAGAGGGTTCCGGTTGTCAACGCCCCCATGGCCCAGTCTGTGACCATGCCTCATGGTGGCTCAGGGCCTGATCAATCAGGCTGTTATTGTTGGCCACATGCAACCTGACGTACGAACCACAGCCTGGCTAGCCAGGTACTGACTTTAGGTGCCTGTCCAGTGACTGCTTGAAGACAGCCAGGGGTAATCCCCCTTATGGATGCTGGGAGACAGTTAAACAGTCTTGGGCCCCTGATACTTATTTTGTTACAGGTTGAGGAACTTCAAGGATTCCCAATAACTGAGGTGTTTTATAGCAGTTATGTGTGTTGTGAAGGTTCTCTGTACATTTTCTAGGTCAACAATTTCACCTGCCTAGAAAGGTGCTGTTAGTGTGCAGCAATATTCCAGCCTAGATAGAACAGTGACCTGAAGAGTGTCATCATGGGCTTGGCATCCCTAGTTTTGAAGGCTCTCATTATCCATCCTGTCATTTTTCTGGGAGATGCGATTGATAGTGTTATGGTCTTTGAAGGCAAGATCCTCTGACATGATCACTCCCAGGTCTTTTACATTAGTTTTTCACTCTATTGTGTGGTTGGAATTTGTTTTATACTCAATGTAGTTTTAATTTCCTCATGTTATTCCATATTGGAGTAATTGAAATTTCTCATCATTCAACTTCATATTGTTTTCTGCAGCCCATTTTAAGATTTGGTTGATGTCCACCTGGAGTCTTGCAGTGTCTACAATAGAAGACACTGTCATGCAAATTCTGGTGTCATCTGCAAAGGAAGACATGGTGCTGTGGCTTATATCCGTGTATGTCGGATATGAGGACGAGGAACAAGATGGGAGAAAGTACTGTGCCTTGTGGAACAGAGCTTTTCACCGTAGCCACCTCAGATTTTATTCTGTTTACTACTACTCTTTGTGTTCTATTTGTCAGGAAATTATAGATCCATCTACCAACTTCTCCTGTTATTCCTTTATCACGCATTTTGTGCTATTACACCATGGTCACACTTGTCAAAGGCTTTTGCAATGTATATGTATTTTATTATATTATATATATATATATATAATATATATATATATATATATATATTATAATATATAATATATATATAATGATATATGTCATGCCGAATAGGCAGAACTTGCGATCTTGGCTTAAATAGCAACGCTCATCTTGCCATATAGGACAAGTGAAAATTTGTGTATGCAATAATTTCGCCAAAATCATTCTGAACCTCTGAACCTAACAAAAAAAATATGTTTCACTGTGTTTGTTCAGTATTAAATTATTGTAAACACATCTAAAATATATTTAGTTGGGTTAGGCTAAAATAAATTGTTCTTGTTATAATAAGGTTAGGTAAGTTCTCTAAGATTCTTTTGGTGCAAAATTAAAAATTTTTACATTAACATTAATGAAAAATTCTAAGAAAGAAATTTGAAAGGATTAATTTACAGAGTTGTGGTATGAATTGTACATTGGCAAAGAAGAATATAATTTATAATTAATACTAGTAATAAGTATATAGTTATAGATAATAAAAATATATTAGGTGATATATATAGATGGAATATCTAGATTATGGGAGAGAGTAGAGAGGAGTGAACGTACCTCAGATATTGAGTGGATCTTCCCGGATGGTCTTGAAAAATGAGTTAAATCATAGAATTGATAGAGAAAAAACATGAGTAGATGGTACATTAGTAGTCTGTGGACAAAGAAACTTGTCCTTGGAGGCAAAGAGGGGAATTATGAGAGTATAGTTTTACCAACGCTCTTATATGGGTGTGAAGCGTGGGTGATGAATGTTGCAGCGAGGAGAAGGCTGGAGGCAGTGGAGATGTCATGTCTGAGGGCAATGTGTGGTGTGAATATAATGCAGAGAATTCGTAGTTTGGAAGTTAGGAGGAGGTGCGGGATTACCAAAACTGTTTGTCCAGAGGGCTGAGGAAGGGTTGTTGAGGTGGTTCGGACATGTAGAGAGAATGGAGCGAAACAGAATGACTTCAAGAGTGTATCAGTCTGTAGTGGAAGGAAGGCGGGGTAGGGGTCGGCCTAGGAAGGGTTGGAGGGAGGGGGTAAAGGAGTTTTGTGTGCGAGGGGCTTGGACTTCCAGCAGGCATGCTTGAGCGTGTTTGATAGGAGTGAATGGAGACAAATGGTTTTTAATACTTGACGTGCTGTTGGAGTGTGAGCAAAGTAACATTTATGAAGGGATTCAGGGAAACCGGCAGGCCGGACTTGAGTCCTGGAGATGGGAAGTACAGTGCCTGCACTCTGAAGGAGGGGTGTTAATGTTGCAGTTTAAAAACTGTAGTGTAAAGCACCCTTCTGGCAAGACAGTGATGGAGTGAATGATGGTGAAAGTTTTTCTTTTTCGGGCCACCCTGCCTTGGTGGGAATCGGCCGGTGTGATAATAAAAAAAATATAATAATGAAAAATATATATCTTTAAACCTATAAAAGAAAATTTTAGAAAGGACTTAATTTTAAATGAGTTCTTGCTAATTGACCAGTTTTACATATTCGGCACGACATATATATATATATATATATATATATATATATATAATATATATATATATATATATATATTATATATATATACGTATATATATTTTCTATAGGGAGGTACCATCTCTAGAACTATACTGGGAGCGCTCATCCTCAGAGAAGACAATAAACGTACCTCAGGGAAAACTTGAGGTTCTCCCCGGAGCTCTTTGAATATTTTCTTCTCCTACCAACCCCTGCAGTTTATAATCTATATGAATTTTATTAATAGACAGAAAACACACACATGAATACATTGGTACAATATATCAAAGTTTATGAATCTCCTCCAGTTCCTCCAAAGATGAACGTGAACCCAGTATGCAGCATACATTTCCCCTCTGGATGGCCAAGCTGAGGCACTGGAACATGAGTGGGGCTGCCCTTAGGTCCCTGGTAGCATCAATGAGTCTGGAACTCAGTTCTTCAAGGAAATGTGTGGCATTTTTTCCCTATGATCCCAAGGTCTCTGATCCCACCGGGACAAATTGATACTGTTAGTTTATGTACTGGTACTTGCCGATCTTGTACTCCTCCCTGTGATCAGCAGCTCCTCCCTGCTGCCCAGCACTGACAGATGTAGTTGTCAGCCAGTGTCGGTACACAGGTATATTTCCATGCTAAGAGCTTGCCATTCTTTCAAGGACTGATGGTGATCCTGTCGGGGCAGTTTGCTGGGTTGTGGGTACTGTTGGCTGCTAGTGATTGGGGCTCTCTCTCTCTCTCTCGGCTGGGCATGCAGCTGTAGCAAGGGTTCTCTCTGTGATATCATTGACTTCATTGTGTCTTGCATGCCAGCCCTTGGTTTTGGAACAGTCAAGACCTTGTAGACCATATTGGTTGGCTTGCACATCGCCGCAAATACACATATATTCCGTGTGAATTGGGCCAGCAAGGTGCAAAGCCACTGCAATACAGAGGGTCGTTGGGTCAAGGCGTGTTCCCATTGCCGAAATGGGAACTGTTTAGATGAAGTCCCAGGAGTGAGATGCACTCACAGCTTGGACACGAGCAGTCTCCCTGTCTGGTGTTACAGCCCTAAGTATGTTGGTAAGCACGTTTTCAGTGATGGGGCCATCCCTGCTTGACTGTTTGTAGGCCAGTGCTGGAAATAAATGGTATAAAATACCGACTCAATGGAAATATAAACACAAATGCAGTATAATGTGATCCTTTACTGACAACGTTTCACCCACACAGTGGGCTTTTTCAAGTCACACACGGATCTACCTGGAGTTGGAAGGTACGAGAGTATTTATAGTCATGTTCAGAATGTTGAGGTCAGGTGGAGAATGCTGCATCTGATGATCTACCGGGTGGGGTTATAGAGTCTTGGGTAGCTTGGCAGGGGTATTGGACAAGTTGTAGACCTTCTGCAGTGTTCTATGTTCTTATGTGGGATAGCGATGAAGAAGTTTCTTGGCGAGTGGTTCAGCTATGTTATAGAAGCCGTTGTTCTGGTTGAAATTGTTGGTTATAGAGATAAGCGATGATTCCAGGATTCTTCTGTATTGAGTGTTGTCTTCTGTGGCTATAAGTCTTGAGTTTCTGTAGTTAATTAAATGGTTGTGTGAAATGTGATGTTGTACACAGGCATTCCTTGTATCGTCAGTCCTGCTTGCATATTGGTGTTCTGAAATGCGTGTTTGGAGGTCTCTTGATGTTTCGCCCACATATAATATGTTGCAGTCATTACAAGGGATTATGTATACCCCTGCAGAGGATGGAGGCTTGTCCTGTCTACTACTGGTGATGTCCTTGATGGTCATGGTTGTGGAGGTAGATACTTGGAATGATGTTTTGGCAAAGATGTTGGAAACATGTTTGGCAATGGAGTTGGTGGGGAGGACTATGTATCTCTTCTCGGCAGTGTCTTCTCTGGGTGTGTTGAAGATGTTTAATGCCCGCCGTCTGCAGTCTCTGATGAAGTGACGAGGATAATGGAGTTTAGAAAATACTTGTTCAATTATAGTGCATTCTTCCTCAAGGAACTCATTGCTGCAGATTCTGAGTGCACGTAGGAAGAAGCCTATAATCACACCACGTTTGGTTTTGGTGTCGTGGTGAGAGTAGAAGTGGAGAAGATCGTTTTGGTTGGTGGGTTTTCGATAGACTTTAAATCGAAGCTTTACGTGTTTCTCCTTCGAAAATCACCTCTTTCAGCAGACTTTTGGACTACCCATGGGTTCACCACTCAGTGCAGTCCTGGCGAACTTATACATGGAACATCTAGAAGCCGAACGTTTCTCCACCATTATTCCTTCGTCTGTCACCTGGCTCCGTTATGTTGACGACATTCTCCTCATAACTCCTAAATGCTTCAACGTTCAAGCTCTCCAAGACAAGCTCAACCAGGTCGAGCCTTCAATCCAGTTCACACTTGAAGAAGAAGTCGACAACACTCTTCCTTTCCTTGATGTTCTGCTCTGCAAAGCTGACCACGAACTTCGTTTTAAAGTCTATCGAAAACCCACCAACCAAAACGATCTTCTCCACTTCTACTCTCACCACGACACCAAAACCAAACGTGGTGTGATTATAGGCTTCTTCCTACGTGCACTCAGAATCTGCAGCAATGAGTTCCTTGAGGAAGAATGCACTATAATTGAACAAGTATTTTCTAAACTCCATTATCCTCGTCACTTCATCAGAGACTGCAGACGGCGGGCATTAAACATCTTCAACACACCCAGAGAAGACACTGCCGAGAAGAGATACATAGTCCTCCCCACCAACTCCATTGCCAAACATGTTTCCAACATCTTTGCCAAAACATCATTCCAAGTATCTACCTCCACAACCATGACCATCAAGGACATCACCAGTAGTAGACAGGACAAGCCTCCATCCTCTGCAGGGGTATACATAATCCCTTGTAATGACTGCAACATATTATATGTGGGCGAAACATCAAGAGACCTCCAAACACGCATTTCAGAACACCAATATGCAAGCAGGACTGACGATACAAGGAATGCCTGTGTACAACATCGCATTTCACACAACCATTTAATTAACTACAGAAACTCAAGACTTATAGCCACAGAAGACAACACTCAATACAGAAGAATCCTGGAATCATCGCTTATCTCTATAACCAACAATTTCAACCAGAACAATGGCTTCTATAACATAGCTGAACCACTCGCCAAGAAACTTCTTCATCGCTATCCCACATAAGAACATAGAACACTGCAGAAGGTCTACAACTTGTCCAATACCCCTGCCAAGCTACCCAAGACTCCATAACCCCACCCGGTAGATCATCAGATGCAGCATTCTCCACCTGACCTCAACATTCTGAACATGACTATAAATACTCTCGTACCTTCCAACCCCAGGTAGATCCGTGTGTGACTTGAAAAAGCCCACTGTGTGGGTGAAACGTTGTCAATAAAGAATCACATTATACTGCATTTGAGGCCAGTGCTGCATAAGTTTTATGACCAACCCTGTTTTTTTGCAATACCACTTGCAGAGTGAGCATGATATGCATGATAAACTGAGCCGCTCAGTCTGCACGACTAACAATCTCTTAACACAGGACGAGCAAGAGATGCACAATAACATAGCCGCTCAGGCGGGACAACTAATAACTCAACACAGAACGAGCATTGAGTGCACAATATTATGCTAACCGCTCAGGCGCCACAACTAACAAACAGTCTTCTTTTCTTTCTTTCTTTGTTGGGTTTATCAGGGCCACTGACAGCATACGCCGTATCGAGCCCGGTTTCTCGATGGTACGAGAAAAAATTGTTGCCCAAGGCTGGGCGATGAGAGAAAAGGAACAAAAGTTCCTTTGTAAATAGAGATAGAAACTTGAAGTTTCCAATTAGATCCGGTGGACCCTCTTGCCAAGCCCCAGCAGAGAAGGACGCCCACACTCCCACCCGAGTTCAGTAACCGGCTTCCCACCAAAGACCGTTAAAGAATTTCCCGCAGAGCGGAAAAAATGGAGCTGGCTAAAGTAAGCCAGAGTGCCCGGCGGGCAAAATAGATGAGGACAAGCGTCCCAGTGAGAACGGGAGAAATTTGTCACTGATACTCAGGCGAGAGAGAGACGTCCACACCCGACGAAGGCTAGCGCAGAAGTCCTAACAAACACTCAATCACGAGAGGACAGTTCGTTCTTTTCTTAGTTGGGTTTATCAGGACCACGGACAGTATAAACCCGACTTCTCGATGGCACGAGGAAGATTTGTTGCCCAAGGCTGGGCGATGAGAGAAAAAGAACAAAAGTTCCTTTGTATATAGAGATAGAAACTTGAAGTTTCCAATTAGATCCGGTGGACCTTCTTGCCAAGCCCCAGCAAAGAGGGACGCCTACACTCCCACCTGAGTTCAGTAACCGGCGTACCACCAAAGACCGACAAAGAATTTTCCGTAGAGCGGAAAAAATGGAGTTGGCTAAAAGTAAGCCGCTGAACAGGTGCCCCTCCTGTAAGTAAGTAAGTTTATTCAGGTATACACAAATACAGTTACATAGAATTATCATACATAGCAGCATATGTGTAGAGAACCTAGGATAACCCAAAAAAGTCAGAGTGACTTATTGCCCGGCGGGCAAAATAGATGAGGACAAGCCTCCCAGAGAGAACGGGGAAAATTTGTCACTGATACTCAAGCGAGAGAGAGAGAGAGAGAGAGAGATACACCCGACGACGGCTGGCGCAGAAGTCACGGGAGGATAGTTAGGGACGTGTTTTCTCCCCTTTGTTAAGGGTTTATAAGGCCAATGGCAGCATCTGCCGTACAGCGCCCTGCCTCTTCATGTCTAGACTTCTCCCTCTTGCTGCCCTATACCCCTGCACTTTTCCCTGCCCCGCTGCACTGTATGACCCTACTAATATAATACCTCTCCGTCTTGCTGCCCGATACCCATGTATTCTTCCTTGCCCCACTGCGCTGTATGACCCTTGTAGGTTTAGTGCCTCATTTTTTATTATAATAAAATAATCTCGGTGTCTAGAAAAAAAAGCTCCCAAATTGGAAGTAACATGACTTGCCGGGATGTGAATGCAAGTCACAAGTGAAATGTGAATGCAAGTCACAAGTGAAATGTGAATGCAAGTCACAAGTGAAATGTGAATGCAAGTCACAAGTGAAATGTGAATGCAAGTCACAAGTGAAATGTGAATGCAAGTCACAAGTCACATGAGGTCATCTAATTTGTGTCTCGTCGCAGCTGATAAGAAGCTTGTAGCAGAGATTATGTATTTACCAGTCGTTTGTTCTGTCACTTCTGTGGTGATGGCAGTAGCAAATATGAAGATTTAACTAAGGTATCGCCTATCCGTGTCTGGTTCTCTGCAGATCATATTGTTCCAGTGCATGAGATGATAAGATTTTGTTTAAATTTTTAACCCAGAGGGTTAACAATCTAGGTTAACCCAGTCAAGTTAGTGACTCATCGGGGACTCTCTATATCTGAAGCATACCTGGAAGATGTTTCGGGGGTCAGTGCCCCCACGACCCACTCCATGACCAGGCCTCGTTGTGGATCAGGGCCTGATCAACCAGGCTGTTATTGCTGGCCGCACGCAAACCGACGTATGAACCACAGCCCGGCTAGTCAGGTACTGACTTTAGGTGCGGGTTAGGTTACGTAAGGTTCGTCAGGAAACAGGACAAGTGTTTCCTGACGTGGGTCTTAGTCAGATGATGACCCGTCGTTGGAGCTTTTGGTCGTCTGACCGAGGCCTTCCGCTGGTTTACCGGTTCACCCCTTTAAAAAATGATTATAGTTATAAACTTATAACCATTTCTTTTAGGTGTGGGTCGGTGTCTGTCTTATATAATTCCACTGGGGTCCTTTGATAAGATAAGATAAGATAAGATTTCGTTCGGATTTTTAACCCCGGAGGGTTAGCCACCCAGGATAACCCAAGAAAGTCAGTGCGTCATCGAGGACTGTCTAACTTATTTCCATTGGGGTCCTTAATCTTGTCCCCCAGGATGCGACCCACACCAGTCGACTAACACCCAGGTACCTATTTGCTGCTAGGTGAACAGGACAACAGGTGTAAGGAAACGTGTCGAAATGTTTCCACCCGCCGGGAATCGAACCCGGGCCCTCCGTGTGTAAAGCGGGAGCTTTAGCCACCCAAGATAATACTTGGAACAGTTGACAAACACACTGGTACTTATTACTAGGTGAAGAGAAACAGCAGGTTTAAGGAAACATGCCCAACGTTTCCACTCGTGTCTGGGATCGAACCACGGACACTCAGTATGCGAGGTGACTGCGCTATCCACCGAGCTACAGGCCCTCTGTAGACCTGTGTACGATACGAATCACAGTGGGAGACGAGGCAATCAGTCCCTCAATCTGTAAGCCGGTTTTCAGTACCTTTATCTTGAGGAATACTGTTATTGCCTTATAATCTAAAGTTTGCCCGAAATGCTCTGCATTTAAAGGGGCTTTAGGCATGTGCACCAAATGTCATTCTCTTTTGTACAAACATTGTATCCTGCTGAAATAAAATTTTTATTTTATTATATTATTATTATTATTATATTATTATTATTATTATGAAGCTGAAGTATAGGCAGGCTGAGTGACTGATTACCTCATCTACTGCCTTCGGAAATCATCTCTGTACTGGACTGATAAAGTGAAACATCTTCAAATAAAGATAAGATAACCAGTTGCTGCTCGTATGTAAGTTCTCATCTTCTCGGTATTGTATACCACTGTTGTAAGAAAAGACAATAACCCAAATTCCTCGCATCAGCATAACTTCACCGAGCACGCATATGCAAACGCATACAGACACACATCCACAAATATGTGTATATGTTTACATGTGCATATATATGTACATAAATGCACATATACATAAGCACACTTGTACATATGCATAAGTATACGTCCACACACGTATGCATATTCCATACGCCTGGCGGGGCCAGGAGCTGTGTTTCAACCCCATAACCACATATGGGTGAGTACATACATGCTTACGTATTTTAATATTTTCCTTAAGTAAAAAAACTACTTTCCTCTATACCTTTTGCGTGCATTGAGGTAGGAGCTGGGCTTATGGGCTACGGGAACACTTTCCCAGATCGTTCAGCGCCCAGTTTTTACAAGTATTGAAGGGTTCAAGCCCCGGGGCGGCCAGGCAGTGAGGCGTGTGGGGCCGGTGGAACGGGTTCGTCCAAGCCTGTCATTGTGAGCGCCGGCCAACACAGGAATAATTCACCCAGGAATATCCTAGCAGGTGTGAGCCCCCGGAAACAGAAATAATTCAGCCAGGAATATCCCAGCACTTGTGTGCAAGCAGGCAGGAAAGGAGACTACTCAGTGCAAGAGCCAAGATGAAAACTGTCACCTGTACGGCCCCTGTTAATATTGCTGTTATCAAATATTGTAAGTATATTATTCCCTTCACCAACCTTCATGCCGGTGAAGGATTTGTGATCCAAGAAACTGAAGCTGTCCTTCCGTTCCTAACATCAATCCTGGTTACCTTTTCTCCAGGTTGTTTATCCATTTTAATCAAGGCAGAGCGCTAAACGCTTGGGGAAAAGCATTCAGGTTCGATTCAAGGAAGGGGTGGACAAGTCCAATTTCTTGGATCAAGAGCCCTCACCGGCATCAAGGACCTTTTTTTCTTTTATTTAGGATTTGCCATACCGTGCGTAGGTATACAGTACAGATGTTATGACGACTTAACCTAAGGTATCTCTAATGTTGGCTAATATGTCTCTCAGTATATAGCACAATATATATTTTATCAGGGCTACAATCTCCTATAGATATTATAGATAATACCAGGTCCAAAGTATATGTTCAGTGTTCAGAAACTCCTGTAGCAGTACCTCATAGTGCAGTAGTAGAAGGTTCGGCTCATAACCAAAAAGTACTTAGGTTGAACCCTGGGCTGAGACCTATGTGGACAAGGCTAACACTTGGTGCTCCTATTACTTAGCAGTAAATAGATGCCTTCGAGTTTATCCACTCTTGTAGATTTCACCTTAGTTCTTCAAGCACCTAACTAGAAACAAATACAGTATATATCTGTTTTATATTGATCCTTTGAACTAAATCTTTATAGTAATTCTTTGTAAATAAAAGCAGGAATATCTTAATTATTTTAAAAAGCAAAAGGTATACACTAATAAATTTTAAAAAATTGTCTGCTTAGTTAAGTTCTCAACACCTGCAATTTATTTCTTTATAGCTGAAATCTTCAAAAAATATGTTTTAAGTAATCTTTCAAAAATTTGAATTATTATTCACCACCTTCAAATTTTTTTTTTTTTCAACAAGTCGGCCGTCTCCCACCGAAGCAGGGTGACCCAAAAAAGAAAGAAAATCCCCAAAAAGAAAATGCTTTCATCATCATTCAACACTTTCACTACACTCACACATAATCACTGTTTTTGCAGAGGTGCTCAGAATACAAAAGTTTAGAAGCATATACGTATAAAAATACACAACATATCCCTCCAAACTGCCAATATCCCAAACCCCTCCTTTAAAGTGCAGGCATTGTACTGTACTTCCCATTTCCTGGACTCAAGTCCGACTATATGAAAATAACCGGTTTCCCTGAATCCCTTCACTAAATATTACCCTGCTCACACTCCAACAGATCGTCAGGTCCCAAGTACCATTCGTCTGCATTCACTCCTATCTAACACGCTCATGCACGCTTGCTGGAAGTCCAATCCCCTTGCCCACAAAACCTCCTTTACCCCCTCTCTCCAACCCTTTCGAGGACGACCCCTATCTCGCCTTCCTTCCCCTATAGATTTATATGCTTTCCATGTCATTCTACTTTGATCCATTCTCTCTGAATGACCACACCACCTCAACAACCCCTCTTCTGCCCTCTGACTAATACTTTTATTAACTCCACACCTTTTCCTAATTTCAACACTCCGAATTTTCTGCATAATATTTACACCACACATTGCCCTTAGACAGGACATCTCCACTGCCTCCAACCGTCTCCTCGCTGCTGCATTTACCACCCAAGCTTCACACCCATATAAGAGTGTTGGTACTACTATACTTTCATACATTCCCTTCTTTGCCTCCATAGATAACGTTTTTTGACTCCACATATACCTCAATGCACCACTCACCTTTTTTCCCTCATCAATTCTATGATTAACCTCATCCTTCATAAATCCATCCGCCGACACGTCAACTCCCAAGTACAGTGGACCCCCGCATAACGGACGCCTTGCATAGCGGACAATCCGCATAGCGGACAATCCGCATAGCGGACGCTTTGATCGCTAAAATTTTGCCCCGCATAGCGCCCAAAAACCCGCTCAGCGGCCTTCGTCCGAGACGCGTCCAATGTGCGGCCTGAGCCACGCTCACATGTTCCGCGGGTGGCATTGTTTACCAGCCAGCCTCCGCGGTAACATCCAAGCATACAATCGGAACATTTTGTATTATTACAGTGTTTTTGGTGATTTTTTTCTGGAAAATAAGTGACCATGGGCCCCAAGAAAGCTTCTAGTGCCAACCCCACAGCAATAAGGGTGAGAATTACTATGGAGATGAAGAAAAAGATCATTGATAAGTATGAAAGTGGAGTGCGTGTCTCCGAGCTGGCCAGGTTGTATAATAAACCCCAATCAACCATCGCTACTATTGGTGGTACAGCTGCTGCTGCTGCTGTATCACCGTCAGCTGCTGCTGCACTGTCAGCTGCTGCTGCTGTACCACCGTCAGCTGCTCCTGCTGCTGTAGTAAACCCTCTGCTGCTGCTGTAGCATCATCTGCTGCTGCTGTAGCATCGTCTGCTGCTGCTGTAGCATCGTCTGTTGCTGCTGTAGCATCGTCTGTTGCTGCTGTACCACCATCAGCTGCTGCTGCTGCTGTAGCATCGTCTGCTGCTGCTGCTGCTGTAGCATCGTCTGCTGCTGCTGTAACATCGTCAGCTGCTGCTGCTGCTGCTGTAACATCGTCAGCTGCTGCTGCTGCTGCTGTAGCACCGTTGTTGGTGTGGCTTATTGAGAATACCAAGAAACAATTAACCCCAGAGGATTTGCCACCCAGGATAGCCCAAAAAAGTCAGTGTCATCGAAGACTGTCTAACTTATTTCCATTGGGGTCCTTAATCTTGTCTCCCAGGATGCAACCCAGACCAGTCGACTAACACCCAGGTGAACAGGGAAAATGCCTGGAACTAGTGCTCATATTGGTGAATTTAGAGCCAGCAAAGGTTGGTTTGAGAGATTTAAGAATCGTAGTGACATACACAGTGTGATAAGGCCTGTTCTGGAAGAAAATACCAAACAGGACCTACAGTACTCAGGAGGAAAAGGCACTCCCAGGACACAGTGTCTCATCAGTCATTGCTGCATCTTCAATAAAGGTAAGTGTCATTTATTCTTCATTTAGTAGAGTAGTACATGCACAATATATATTGTGCATGTACTACTCTAGTATTGTGCATGTATCCTTCTCTTTGTGTGTAGGAAAATGTATATTTCATGTGGTAAAATTTTTTTTTTCAAACTTTTGGGTGTCTTCCACGGATTAATTTGATTTCCATTATTTCTTATGGGGAAAATTCATTCACATAGCGAACATTTCGCATAACAGCCAGCCCTCTTGCACGGATTAAGGTCGCTATGCGGGGGTCCACTGTATCTGAAAACATTCACTTCTTCCATACTCCTCCTCCCCAATTTGATATCCAATTTTTCTTTATCTAAATCATTTGATACCCTCATCACCTTACTCTTTTCTATGTTCACTTTCCACTTTCTACCTTTACACACATTCCCAAACTCATCCACTAACCTTTGCAATTTTTCTTGAGAATCTCCCATAAGCACAGTATCATCAGCAAAAAGTAACTGTGTTAATTCCCATTTTGAATTTGATTCCCCATAATTTAATCCCACCCCTCTCCCGAACACCCTAGCATTTACTTCTTTTACAACCCCATCTATAAATGTATTAAACAACCATGGTGACATTACACATCCCTGTCTAAGACCTACTTTTACCGGGAAGTAGTCTCCTCTCTTCTACACACCCTAACCTGAGCCTCACTATCCTCATAAAACTCTTTACAGCATTTAGTAACTTACCACCTATTCCATATACTTGCAACATCTGCCACATTGCTCCCGTATCCACTCTATCATATGCCTTTTCTAAATCCATAAATGCAATAAAAACTTCCCTACCTTTATCTAAATAACTGTTCACATATATGCTTCAATGTAAACACTTGATCTACACATCCCCTACCCACTGTGAAACCTCCTTGCTCATCCGCAATCCTACATTCTGTCTTGCCTCTAATTCTTTCAATTATAACCCTACCGTACACTTTACCTGGTATACTCAATAAACTTATTCCTCTATAATTTTTACAATCTCTTTTGTCCCCTTTCCCTTTATATAAAGGGACTATACATGCTCTCCGCCAATCCCTAGGTACCTTCCCCTCTTTCATACATTTATTAAACAAAAGTACCAACCACTCCAACACTATATCCCCCCCTGTTTTTAACATTTCTGTCATGATCCCATCAGTTCCAGCTGCTTTACCCCCTTTCATTCTATGTAATGCCTCGTGTACCTCCTCCACACTTACATTCTGCTCTTCTTCACTTCTAAAAGATGGTATACCTCCCTGACCAGTGCATGAAATTACCATCTCCCTTTCTTCCTCAACATTTAACCCTTTGACTGTCGCGGCCATATATATACGTCTTACGAGGTACCGTGTTTGACGTATATATACTCATAAATTCTAGCGGCTTCAAATCAAGCAGGAGAAAGCTGGTAGGCCCACATGTGAGAGAATGGGTCTGTGTGGTCAGTCTGCACCATATAAAAAAAATCCTGGAGCACGCAGTGCATAATGAGAAAAAAAAAACTTCGACCGTTTTTTTAATTAAAATGCCGACTTTGTGGTCTATTTTCGTATAGTATTTATGATTGTATTCTCGTTTTCTTGGTCTCATTTGATAGAGTGGATAACATATTATAGAAATAGAGGTGATTTTGATTGATTTTACTATAAAAAGAACCTAGAAATGGAGCTCAAAGTAGGGGAAATGTTTGATTTTTGCCAGTGTTCAAAAGTAAACAAATGATGCCATTGTCCAATAAATGTCCAGCTAGCCATTCTAATATGCAGTCATGAATGGGTTGATGTTATTTATACAATTATTACAGTATTGCAGTAGTCTGCATAATAGTAAGTCTTCTATTTTTTGTTTGAATAAAAATTCAAAATAGAAAGCAAGAGTAATATCAGAGGGGCCTGGAGACATGACTGATGAACAAAGAAAATGTTATTTTAGAGCCAGGAATGTCTGCATTGTTCATTCTGGACCTTATTTTGAAATGGTCGTATTTTTTAGTTTTCGTGAAATTGGCCAAATTGCAAATTTCTGACCACATTATTAGGTAGTTGAAATCGGTAAATGGGCAATTTCTTGTACTCAATCGATAGAAAAAATGGAGTTCTAAAGAAATAGCTATGAGTTTGGGCGACTGGAACAACGGAATTAGCCGAAAATAGGGCGCAAAGTGGGCGAAATCGCCGATTTGTAAACAGCGCCGAGGTCGCTAACTTCGTGAGAGCATAATTCCGTCAGTTTTCCATAAAATTTCGTTTTTTTGGTGTCATTTCACAAGAAAAAAAATAATTTTTTTTTTAAATTTTGCGACACCAGGAGACACCTCAGGATTGGGGGTTGCGACAGTCAAAGGGTTAAAAGTTCCTCAAAATATTCTCGCCATCTACCTAATCTATGTAGTAACACTCTTCAGGTCACTTGTTCTATCTAGGCTGGAATATTGCTGCACACTAACAGCACCTTTCAAGGCAGGTGAAATTGCTGACCTAGAAAATGTACAGAGAACCTTCACGGCACGCATAACGGAGATAAAACACACCAATTACTGGGAGCGCTTGAGGTTCCTGAACCTGTATTCCCTGGAACGCAGGCGGGAGAGATACATGATTATATACACCTGGAAAATCCTAGAGGGACTAGTACTGAACTTGCACACGAAAATCACTCACTACGAAAGCAAAAGACTTGGCAGACGATGGAACATCCCCCCAATGAAAAACAGGGGTGTCACTAGCACATTAAGAGACCATACAATAAGTGTCAGGGGCCCGAGACTGTTCAACTGCCTCCCAGCATACATAAGGGGGATTACCAACAGACCCCTGGCAGTCTTCAAGCTGGCACTGGACAAGCACCTAAAGTCGGTTCCTGATCAGCCGGGCTGTGGCTCGTACGTTGGTTTGCGTGCAGCCAGCAGTAACAGCCTGGTTGATCAGGCTCTGATCCACCAGGAGGCCTGGTCACAGACTGGGCCGCGGGGGCGTTGACCCCCGGAACTCTCTCCAGGTAAACTCCAGGTAATACCTCCCTCTCCCCATATACTAACTCCCCTACTCTGTTTTTAACTGACAAATCCATACTTTTCCTAGGCTTTCTTAACTTGTTTAACTCCAAAATTTTTTCTTATTTTCATTAAAATTTCTTGACAGTGCCTCTCCCACTCTATCATCTGCTCTCCTTTTGCACTCTCTTCACCTTTCTTTTACTCTCCATATACTCTGCTCTTCTTATAACACTTCTGCTTTGTAAAAACCTCTCATAAGCTAACTTTTTCTCTTTTATCACACCCTTTACTTCATCATTCCACCAATCACTCCTCTTTCCACCTGCCCCCACCCTCCTATAACCACAAACTTCTGCCCCACATTCTAATACTGCATTTTTAAAACTATTCCAACCCTCTTCAACCCTCCCACTACTCATCTTTGCACTAGCCCACCTTTCTGGCAACAGTCGCTTATATCTCCCCCGAACTTCCTCCTCCCTTAGTTTATACACTTTCACCTCCCTCTTACTTGTTGTTGCCACCTTCCTCTTTTCCCATCTACCTCTTACTCTAACTGTAGCTACAACTAAATAATGATCCGATATATCAGTTGCCCCTCTATAAACATGTACATCCTGGAGCCTACCCATCAACCTTTTATCCACCAATACATAATCTAACAAACTACTTTCATTACGTGCTACATCATACCTTGTATATTTATTTATCCTCTTTTTCATGAAATATGTATTACTTATTACCAAATCTCTTTCCTTCAAAATACTCTACAATAATGCATATCAATAAATTGACACTACATTGTATACAATACAATACTCTACTGCACTCCTTCAGTACCATATGTAATGAAGGTCTCAAATGTATGTGTTTTTGCCTTTTTAACAAATGTATAAAGCCACTCAGCATAATATCAGTATCCTTATATTTCAGGGGGAAAGCGAGATGAGAAACTTATTTTACCTCTTAATGACTCCATTAGCTTCACTTTGAGTCAGGATGATATGTGTGCAAAGACAACAGTTACTATTTCTCCAAAATTCACAGAGGACAAATTTTGGCTGAATGGAAAGTAAGTGTGTGTATTTGCATCAACTTATTTGCTTCTAATTGGATATCTTGTGGTACCCTTTTTAAATGATTTACTGTAATCTATGTAGTATTTCTTATAATGGAGCTGATAGAATTGAACTGTAAGTAATTTATATTTTAGTGGGGCCACATTTGACCAGGAGCTTATTATAATCTTCCAACATGTAATGATTAACATGGCCTGCCAAATCTCTTCATCTTCTAGATGAAGGATTATGTTCACAAGGAAGCATTAAACCTGAAAGGGTCATACAGAGCATGGGAAATAGGCAGTCATGTTTAATCTAAGGAAGGAATAGTTAGTTACTAAATTTGTGGATCAAGAGCCTATCACTAGCATGAATGCACCCCTCTTGAAGGGTCTAGAATTCTAAGTGCAAAATGGTGTCTGCAAATGAAAATTGTTTCCCAATAAGCTCTTCAGGTCTTGAGATACAGGAAGAGGATCTGGAGACAGTTGAATCCATAGCTAGCTCTAGATTCTTGAAACATTTACAGTTCTTAATTTTCAGTGAATCAATTTCTCAAACTTTTTAAAGATTTTTTATTATATTAGCCATTTTTCACCAAGGTAAGTTTTTGTAGAATATAAAAATAATAATAATAAGCTCTGTACTATATATACTTATTTATTATTTTGTATTAGATTATATTCATTTGGCTGCTTATCTTGCTACCATTCTAATTGCCAACACATCATTTCAGAGAAGAATCACTAGAAAACCCAAGAATACAGAATTGCCTGAAAGAGAGTAAGTTACAACTTTACCATTATATTAAAATGTCTTCCTTATGCAATTGTTTGTTTATCTGGCTCTTAATGATAATGACACTTGATTATTTAAAACTATATTGGATGTAATGTTTCAAGCAACTCATAAACACAAATAATTATTTAAAATTTGTGCAGTATTTATATTTATAATTAAATGGCTGTATGTTATTATAAAAAAAATTATGTGCAGCAGTTAATTGTAGGTTTTTTATTTTTATTAATACATTGGCCATTTACCACCAAGGTAGGGTGGCCCGAAAAAGAACAACTTTCACCATCATTCACTTCGTCACTGTCTCCCCAGAGACGAGCTTACACTACAGTTATAAAACTGCAACATTAACACCCCTCCTTCAGAGTGCAGGCACTGTACTTCCCATCTTCAGGACTCAAGTCTGGCCTGCCAGTTTCCCTGAATCCCTTTATAAATATTACTGTGCTCACACTCCAACAGCATGTCAAGTCCTAAAAACCATTTGTCTCCATTCGCTCCTATCTAACATGCTCATGCATGCTTGCTGGAAATCCAAGCCCCTCACACACAAAACCTCCTTTACCCTCTTCCTTCAACATTTCCTAGGCCAACCTCTACTTCTCCTTCCCTTCACTAACGATTTATACATTCTCAAAGTCATTCTGTTTTGTTCCTTCCTTTCTACATGTCCGAACCACTTCAACAACCCCTCCTCATCCCTCTGGATAGTAGTTTTGGTAATCCCGCACCTCCTCCTAATTTCCAAACTGCGAATTCTCTGCATTATATTCACACCACACATTGCCCTCAGACATGACATTTCCATTGCCTTCTCCTTGTTGCAACATTCACCACCCTTGCTTTGTACCCATATAAGAGTAATGGTATAACTATACTCTTATACATTCCCCTCTTTTCTTCCATGGACAAAGTTCTTTGTCTCCACAGACTCCTCAATGCACCACTCGCCTTTTTCCCCTCGTCAATTCTATGACTCGCCTCATCTTTCATAGACCCATCTGCTGACATGTCCACTCCTAAATATCTGAACACATTCACCTCCTTACTATCTCCCTCCAATCTGATATGCAATCTTTTGTTGACATTTTTTTTTGTTATCCTCATCATCATACTCTTTCTTATATTCACTTTTAATTTTCTTCTCTTACATACCCTACCAAACTCATCCACCAACCTCTGCAACTTCTCTTCAGAATCTCCCAAAGGCACAGTGTCATCAGCAATGAGCAACTGTGACAACTCCCACTTTGTGTTAGATTCTTTATCTTTTAACCCCACACCTCTTGCCAACACGTGAACATTCACTTCTCTTATATAATCCCATCTATAAATATATTGAACAACCATAATGACATCACACATCCTTGTCTAAGGCCTACTTTTATTGGGAAATAATCTCCCTCTCTCCTACACACTCTAACCTGAGCCTCACTATCCTCGTAAAAACTCTTCACTGCTTTCACTAACCTACCTCCTATTCCATACATTTGCAACATCTGCCACCTTACCCCCCTATCCACCCTGTCATATGCCTTTTCCAAATCCACACCCCTACCCTTCCTGAAACCTTGTTTATCTGCTGTCCTACTCACTGTCTTACTCTTAATTCTTTCAATAATAACTCTACCATACACTTTACTAGGTATACTCAACAGACTTTCTTCTTTCTTTCAACACACCGGCCATATCCCACCGAGGCGGGGTGGCCCAAAAGGAAAAACGAAAGTTTCTCCTTTTACATTTAGTAATATATACAGGAGAAGGGGTTACTAGCCCCTTGCTCCCGGCATTTTAGTCGCCTCTTACGACACGCATGGCTTACGGAGGAAGAATTCTGTTCCACTTCCTTATGGAGATAAGAGGAAATAAACAAGAACTAGAAAGAAAATAGAGAAAACCCAGAGGGGTATGTATGTGTATATATGCTTGTACATGTATGTGTAGTGTGACCTAAGTGTAAGTAGAAGCAGCAAGACGTACCTGAAACCTTGCATGTTCATGAGACAGAAAAATGGACACCAGCAATCCTACCATCATGTAAAACAATTACAGGCTTTCGTTTTACACTCACTTGGCAGGATGGTAGTACCTCCCTGGGTGGTTGCTGTCGACCAGCCTACTACCTAGAACTCGACAGACTTATTCCCCTATAATTTTTGCACTCTTTTTGTCCCCTTTGCCTTTGTACAAAGGAACTATGCATGCTCTCTGCCAATCCCTAGGTACCTTACTCTCTTCCATACATTTATTAAATAAAAGTACCAACCACTCCAAAACTATATCCCCACCTGCTTTTAACATTTCTGTCTCTATCCTATCAATCCCAGCTGCCTTACCCCCTTTCATTCTCTCCTCTGCCTCATGAACTTCCCCCACACTCACAACTCGCTCTTCCTCGCTCCTACAAGATCTTATTCCTCTTTGCTCTATACACGAAATCACAGCTTCCCTATCTTCATCAACATTTAACAATTCCTCAAAATATTCCCTCCTTCTTCCTGATACCTCTAACTCTCCATTTAATAACTCTCCTCTCCTATTTTTAACAATCAAATCCATTCGTTCCCTAGGCTCCCTCAACTTGTTAATATCACTCCTAAACTTTTCTCATTTTCAACAAAATTTGTTAATATCTCACCCATTCTCTCATTTGCTCTCTTTTACATTGCTTCACCACTCACTCAACCTCTCTTTTTCTCTCCATATTCTCCTCCCTCCTTGCATCACTTCTACTTTGTAAAAACCCTCACATATGCCAACTTTTTCTCTCTTACTACTCTCTTTACATCATTATTCCACCAGTCACTGTTCTTCCCTCCTATGCCTACTTTCCTGTAACCACAAACTTCTGCTGAACACTAACACTACAATTTTAAATGTACTCCATAAATCTTCAACCCCATTATGTAGTATATATTATAGGATATAAAATGTTAGAAGTTTTGTCACTTAGCTGAAAACTTGTTTGAAAAAATTATAATAATATTAGAGTAGAGCTTGAATTGAAATAGTGAACATTATGCACATTTTAAGCTAGAGGCTACTTTTTATGGCAAAACATTTGATAAAATACTTTAATAAATAATAGTTTTACTATTTATGTGTTACACCATGCAAGATATAAATAATGTCATAAGCTATAATTTTGTCTTCCTAATTTCCAGTTATAATTTTTTCACCTGTCTTTGATGCAACCTGTTACTCCCACTCTTTTTCCCATTCTGTTACAGAATCATCCTTTCATCCAGTAGGTGATGAATTGCCATGACCTTTACTGTTCTCTGGTATTTAAATCATTAAAAGATTTATTAATGTGGTTCAGTCTGCCTTTCTCAGGTTTGTTTGCTTCTTAAATAAGTATCATCCTATGGTAGCTAGATCAGATGATGTACATGTTCCTGTATTGCAATACCTACTCCTGCCAACACTGTCTTTTGTCTTGCACTTCATCAGTGTATCTGTTTTGAAGGCATCCTCTCCCTTTAATAAAAAACTGCAGTTCTTCCTTTTTTGGAGTCCCTGGGTATGTTGGGGTGTAACACTTTTACAGTGTTAACCCATTACTTTTACCAGCTCCATTTATATTGGCCCATTGCTCCTATCAGCTCCATTGGTAAACTGCTTAAATGTATGGTTAACAGGATATTTTATGTACAGGTAGTCCTTGAAGGCCCAGAATTTTGATCTCCATCAGTTTGTGTTTATACTCCATAGAGCCACAAATTTATAATGGCTGACTTTTTTGACCTTGAGAAGACTTATGATATCACCTAGCAATATCAGATCTTGTACTAGTCTCGTTCATTACGAGTTTTTTACTTGGATACTTTTGTATTGAGGTCAGTAAGAGCCTGAAGAATAAAAACCACAATAACTTTGCTGGAACAATATACATAGCATAAAACATTATTAGGCATAATACATCATATAGATTACGTATTACATATGGATGATGAAAAAGTGTATAAAACATATTTCAACTCTTTTGTTTACAATTTCAGTTCGTCGGCGAGCTTCAAAAAGAAAATTGGAAGGGTCAGCTGAAGATATATTGAACTGGCATATACATATATGTTCAGCTAACAATTTTCCCACTGCTGCTGGTTTGGCCTCCTCAGCTGCTGGGTATGCATGTCTTGGTAAGTCAGGCTGTCAACATCTGTGACATCTTTCCTCTGGGAGCTTCTCTTTGTTGAAGTAATGGCCTCAGGTAGACTCTCCCAAGACTTGGAAAAACCTTCAAGCATTGACATTTCGAGTAGGAAAACTTTAAATGTTTGTCTGAGAATTCCACATTTTGGTTTGTTATGAGTATGACACCCTTCATGGGAGGTGCCTTGATTCTGGTGAAGGGCACTTGATCCATGGTATTTGAGCTACCCTCCTCTTCCTAACATCAACTAGGATTACTGTACTTCCATTTCCTATGGGTTTAGAACTTCTTCAAGTATTTAATAATTCTTTAACAATAATATATTGAGTATCACATTCATGAAAGTTTCTACCAGTACTTATTTGCACGGAGAAGTAAGTAGGCCAAAACAATATCCTTTTAAAAGTAAGAAAATGCTGCATTTTTTCTGAATTTGTACTTTATTCCTATTAAATGAAATACAGTATACCTTTATACAACACATTTTATTGATGCATGTTTTTACTTTATTGTGGGTCATAGTACCGTCTTGCAGTCCTCTAGTTCTACACCATCCTGTTATCTTGAAAGAATGCCGTTAAGCCTGGTTGAAAATAAAAAAAAGTTAAAATATCCTCACTCCTCTGGCAGTGCCCAGATCAATATTTAATCATATCAGATAACTGACTCCTTTCCTTACCTATTACCAACCACCCATGTCTAAGCCATACACAAAATGGCAAAATGAATAATCTGCAGAAAAGCTCAGGCATATAGCATTATGTTTTGCTGTAATTACTGTAATTAGATGCACAGTAGTAAATATATACCAGAAGTGTTAATTGTATGTACAGTATGTGAAACTGGAACTTTTTCTTCATCCATTGTATGGGTTAGGTAACATTTTGGTAGGCATGCTCGCCACCACTCACAGTGAGTTGTGCACCACTTAGCACTATATGCAAAACTCAACATAATTCTCACATTTTTCTTTTTTTCAACAAACCGGCTGTATCCCACCGAGGCAGGGTGGCCCAAAAAAGAAAAACCAAAGTTTCTCTTTTTAAATTTAGTAATTTATACAGGAGAAGGAGTTACTAGCCCCTTGCTTCCGGCATTTTAGTCGCCTCTTACGACACGCATGGCTTACGGAGGAAGAATTCTGTTCCACTTCCCCGTGGAGAAATTCTCGTATACCTGTAACAAAAATTACTCTGACCTATACTGTATTGGGTGAGTAATGTAGGTACAGTATTAAGTACTTTAGTTTTTCAGTCACTAAAAGTACGGTAAGTTGTTTCTTTAGCATTGTAAGAGAAAAGCTTGATGTGTGGGTAGGAGACTACCACACATCACAACTAGCTCACATATTAGAGAAGAAACTCGCTTGGTCCTGGACCATTATCGATTCATTGGTGACTTGCAACTTAATAATGATCAATGATGGACTAAAAGCATTCTTCTTGTTTTGTTTCCAGTGTGTAGACTGGGTGTCAGTTGCTCTAGTTATAGTATTGACTTTTATTCTTCACCGGTATTAACCATGCACTTAACTTAGGCTGTCAATATGTGTACAAAATACTTAACTTTGAGACTAAAGCATTCTATTTTGTAGGAAATAATTTGAGATGGGACCTATCAACCGTAGATGTTCACTTCATATCATTTAAGAAAGAATTTATTAACCATACGTGCCACCAGGCTTCATGTGCTATGCACCACGTAGTCCTCTGAGCACAAAAGTTCAAATTCATTTCCTAAAAGATTTGACACATTTTTTTTACCTATACAGTGGACCCCCGGTTAACGAACTTTTTTCATTCCAGTAGTATGTTCAGGTGCCAGTACTGACCGAATTTTTTCCCATAAGGAATATTGTGAAGTAGATTAGTCCATTTCAGACCCCCAAACATACACGTACAAACGCACTTACATAAATACACTTACATAATTGGTCGCATTTGGAGGTGATCGTTAAGCGGGGGTCCACTGTATTTGGTGATTTTTGCAGGTATTAGTATTACGCAGTGTAACAGTATTGTGCTATGTAAGAAGAACACTTATATCACTTTTGAGCCAATTATTTTTTCGTTTTTGAGTTCATGTTTTTTTTTAGTTAGAACCCTTTGATTTCTTAGAATGGTGTTTACTGGGAAAATAGACCTCATCGAACAGTGCCCCTTTAAACAAAATTTATTTTGTGGGGAAACACACCTATAGTGTTGAATGAGGTTGTCTGTACAGTATTTGCTAATACATGTATGCCAATATTTTGCAGGTCTAATACTGGTTGTCTATCAGGATAAAATATGTACATTGTATTTAATGAAGTACTCAACCTATGTATTATTATTATAATTAAAACTAAGCGCTAAATCCACCAGGTCATTCAGTGCAAGGATTGGTGGAGGCTCAAGCTTCTGCCTTCTAATTGGGGCCTAATCTCTGGCCAGAATGTGAATTATATTCCTGTTTTATTTTAGAGCCAAGATATCTTTGATACCTGAAAATTCATTTACTGCATATGTATGGTATATTTACATGATGTGTAATTCTTCTTTTAAAATAATATAATTTCCTGCATGTCACTGGGAAAAAAAAATTATAAACATGTATATTCCAACATTGGGCAAACTATTTAATTTTAAAATATTAAATTTAAATGTAAAGTTTTCATAAATATTTCTCTGCAGTGTATGCTCTTGGGCAAGTGTATGGCATAGAAGGGGATTTGTCTTCCATTGCTCGTCAGGGATCAGGGAGTGCTTGTCGCAGCATTTATGGAGGCCTCGTCAGGTGGCATAAAGGAGAGTTGGAAGATGGCACTGACTCTATAGCACGACCAATTGCTCCTGCAGATCACTTTCCCAATCTAAGAGTCATTATTTGTGTGGTGAGTCTTCAATATTTGTGCTTTTATTGGATTTTTTTTGGTTACATTATCATTTATTTCTCACTAAAGTAGGGTTACTCAAAGAAACGCACACATTCACCTTCACTCGTTCAATAGCTGTCTTGCCAGAAATGTATGGACATCACATTTCAAATGACTCTTCTGATTACAAAGTCCTCACTCATCCTTCTGAGTGCAGGTACTATTTCCAACTTGCAGGACTCAAATCTGGCTGACTGGTTTCATTGAATTTTTTCATAAATGTTACTTTGCTCGCACTCCAGCAACATGTCTAAACCCAAAAACCGCTTCTCTCCCTATTTTGATAAATTGTAACAACACATGCATACCTACTGTATGTGTAAGCCCCTTTTTATTAAAACCTCCTTCATCCCTTTCTGGAATGTGCCTTATACTTTCCATCTTTCCATTCACAACACTATGCACCGTCTTGCTTCATCCTCTCTGAATGTCTAGTCTATCTCTACAGTACTTCCTCTACTCTGAATTATACCTTTCAAACCCTCACATCGTCTGTATAATATATGTATTGTGTATACTGAAACCTTGTTTGTTTCAGGCCAATTCTGAGCGTAAAAAGACAGGCAGCACAGATGGAATGAGACAAACTGTTCAGACTTCAAAATTAATGCAGCATCGTATCAAAGAATCCGTTGTTTCTCGAATGGAGTCCATGATAAAGGTATGATCATTATTCCATATTTATTAAAAAAATTGTTGTCATTTATAGTTCTTCTGGGTACATTTTGTAGTAACCAATAATACCATAATTATAGAAGCAGTTATGCTTGTAGTATCCCATTTTCAGTGTTTAGTCTTGTAATGGTGCAAAGTTTCCAGCCATAGTATGCACTGCTTCTTCTTGGTTCTCACTTCAGCAGTGTACCATTCTGTTTCTTAAAAAAATTCTAGCATCCTTTCAGCACCTTGCTTTTTTAACAGTGATTTTCTCATATTCAAAACATCCTCAACAGTACCTAAACTGTCTCCATTCACCTCAAAGAGTTGCACAGTAAGTTGAATGCTTGGTTATGTCATATCTGGTTGTTTCATGTAACTTTTAAGGATTTTCTTAAATATATTTTTTCTTGGTTCATGTTTTATCACATCAGTCATTTACCACCAAGGTAAGGTAACCTAAAGAAACAACACTTTCACTATAACTTATTCAGTAGCTCTCTTGTGGTGCTCACACCTCTGGAAAGCATATCTGCCTAACCAGGTTTCCTGAATGTCTTCATGTGTTACCGTACTCCTCCAACAAAATGTCAAATTCCAAGAATCGCTTGTCTCCACTCTGATCTAACATACTCTTCATTTATATACATTTCATAACTTATAAACTCTTTATTTAGTTGTTAATTATTAGGTTGATGCAGTATGTGGATACAATATCAGGTTTTCAGATCTCTTGTCAGTGACAATGAATCAGTTTACCATTTCTTGTAGGGTTAGATTTTTTGAGCAGTCTCAAATATAATGAAGTGCATGGCCCTGTCTCTTGTCCACAAACTTTATACTTTATACATGATGAACTGCCAAGTTATATAGCCTAATCTTAGTCTAGCAATATTTTTCAAATTCAAGACTGCATTATTTACAGAATTTTTCTGTTCATTGTTGCACAATTTTTCAGAAATTTTAATCTGTTAATTTCATTTAGGCTTGATTAGTTTAATTAATTTTTTAATTTACACATTGGCCATTTTTCTGCCAAACCAGGGTGACCCAAAAAAGAAGAAACACTTTCAACATCATTCATTCCATCACTGTCTTGACAGAGGCATGCCTACACTAGTTTAAAAAACTGAAACATATCAACACCCGTCTTTCAGAGAGCAGGCACTGTACTTCCCACCTCCAGGACTCAGTCCAGCTAACTGGTTTCCCTGAATCTCTTCATAAATGTTACTTTGCTCACACTCCAACAGCACATCAGGTCATAAAAACCATTTGTCTCCTCTTGCTCCTATCTAACATGCTCACACATGCTTGTTGGAAGTCAAAGTCCCTCACACACAAAGCCTCCTTTACCCTCTTCTTTTAACCTTTCCTAGGCTGACTCCTATTCCTCATTCCTTCCACTACAGATTTATATGCTCTCCAAGTCATCAGCCCTCTGGATAATACTTTTAGTAACCCCTGCACCTTCTAATCTCCAAACTATGGATTTATGGATTCTTAGCATTATATTCACAGTGCACATTGCCCTCAGACATGACATCTTCACTGCCTCCAGCCTTCTTCTTGTTGCAACATTCACCACCCATGCTTCACACCCATATTGGTATAACTATACTCTCATACATTTCTCTCTCTGCTTCCATGGATAATGTTCTTTGTCTCCACAGACTCCTTAGTGAACCACTCACCTTTTTCTCCCCTCATCAATTCTATGATTCACTTCATCTTTCATAGACCCATTTGCTGACAAGTCCACTCCCAGATATTTGAGTACAATCACTTCCTCCATACATTCTCTCTCTAATTTGATATCCAGTCTAGCATTACCTAAATTTCTTTTTATCCTCATCACCTTACTTGTTTTCTATGTTGACTTTTAATTTCCTTCTTTTATATACCCTACCAAACTTGTGCACCGACCTCTGCAACATCTCTTCAGAATGTCCCAAAAGCACAGTGTTGTCAGCAAAAAGCACCTGTGACAACTCCCCCTTTGTGTTAGATTCTTTATCTTTTAACCCTACACCTCTAGAAATATATATTGAACAACCATGATGACATCATGTATCCTTGTCTAAGCCTTACTTTTACTGGGAAATAATTTCCCTCTCTCTTACATACTCTAATCTGAGCTTCACTATCCTTGTAAAAACTCTTCGCTGCTTTCAGTAACCTACCACATACTCCATACATTTGCAACATCTGCCACATTGCCCTCCTATCCACCCTATCATATGCTTTTTCCAAATCCACAAATGTAACAAAAGCTTTACCCTTATCTGAATATACTGTTCACCTATATGTTTCACTGTAAACAATTGGTCTACACACCCTCTGCCTTTTCTAAAACTTCCTTGTTATAATAACTCTGTAATAAAGTTGGTAGAATAACCAACAATATGTAAAGTAAAAGGACACAAATGCAACTAATGTGACTTTTTATTGTGGCAACGTTTCGCTCTCCAGGAGCTTGATAAATCTCCTTTTACAGTAATAACTCTGTCGTATATTTTACCAGATATACTCGACAGGCTTTTTTTGTTTTTTTTAACAAGTCGGCTGTCTCCCACCTAAGCAGGGTGACCCAAAAAGAAAGAAAATCCCCAAAAAGAAAAATACTTTCATCATTCAACACTTTTACCTCACTCACACATAATCACTGTTTTTGCAGAGGTGCTCAGAATACAACAGTTTAGAAGCATATACATATAAAGATACACAACATCCCTCCAAACTACCAATATCCCAAACCCCTCCTGTAAAGTGCAGGCATTGTACTTCCCATTTCCAGGACTCAAGTCTGGCTATATAAAAATAACCGGTTTCCCTGAATCCCTTCACTAAAAATTACCCTGCTCACACTCCAACAGCTCGTCAGGTCCCAAATACCATTCGTCTCCATTCACTCCTATCTAACAATGCTCATGCACGCTTGCTGGAAGTCCAAGCCCCTCGCCCACAAAACCTCCTTTACCCCCTCCCTCCAACCCTTTCAAGGATGACCCCTACCCTGCCTTCCTTTCCCTACAGATTTATACGCTCTCCATGTCAATCTACTTTGATCCATTCTCTCTAAATGACCAAACCACCTCAACAGGCTTATTTCCCTATAATTTTTACTCTCTTTTGTACCTTTTGACTATACAGAAGAATTATGCATGCTCTCTGCCAATCCCTAGGTATTTAACCTTCCCCTCTTCAATACATCGATTAAATAAAAGCACCAACCATTCTAAAACTATATCCCCACCTGCTTTTAGCATTTCAGTCTTTATCCCATCAATCCCAGCTGCTTTACCCCCTTCTATCCACTGCCTCACACACCTCCCTCACACTCACTACTGGCTCATCCTCACTCCTCCAAGATATCATATAACAAATATTAACTTGTTTTTACATATAATTACCAGACTATAACGCATGGCATATTGTAATATTTAAAGCATGTCGTTTCTCATGAATGCTTAAGCACAGTTGGAAATGGGCTGAACATTGATAACATCTCATAGCCTACTTATATCTCACAGGTCTCTTTTTAACGGTCTTAACTTTCTTTTTGCTTCCAATTAAGAGATTCTCTCTCTTTTTTTCCATTTCTCTTTTATCTCTCACTTGTCATGTAGAAGATCAAGCTTCCACAGCAATTTACACTAAATGACACACAAGGGTTTAGTACAATTGTGTAATTAACTCAGTGGCCTGCTAAGGCTACCCAGGGTAACCCAAAGAAGAAAACACATCTACATAATAAAATACTGGTAATCTTTTCCTCTGCTTTTGTAGTATATGTATTGTATACATATTCATAAGCACTTATTATATTCTCTTTGCTGCTCTGTGCCAACAGGCTACAATATCTTAAATGGGCATTCTGATATATATGTGATAGTTCCTTGATAATGTGAGAAGTCATGAAAGTGCTTGGAATTTCACTATTCTTTTACAATGGTTGTTTTGCATGTAACTATATTCATATTAGTCAACAAGAGGTTGAGAACACAGTAATGTGCACAACAATTGAGAAGTGATATTTATTTCTATTTGAAGGAATATAATGTTTTATTAAGTGTATTTGAAATTCTTAGTGTTCCATGAATTTTTCTTCCACAGGCAATCAAGGACAAAAATTGGCCTGCCTTCTGTGATCTTACAATGGCTGACAGTAATGAGATGCATGCAGTCTGTCAGGACACTTTTCCACCCTGTGTGTACATGACAGACACTTCACATGCTGTGGCTAACCTTGTACATCAGTACAATGATCTCAAAATTTCTCAACGTGACATTAATCATAAGGTAATAATAATGTATAAATATCATCCATTGGTTTTATAAAGCTTGAAGCAAAGTCTTTTGGAAGGCATATTTAAGTTAGCTTCTAGGTATAGCAGTGAAAATAAATACAGTGGACCCTCAACTAACGATTTTAATCCATTCCAGAGAGCTTGTCCTTAGCCGAATTTATCGTTAGCTGAATTAATTTTCCCCATAAGAAATAATGGAAATCCAATTAATCCGTTCCAGACACCCAAAAGTATTTAAAAAAAAAAATTTTTTTTACATGAAATATACATTTCCCTACACAGAAAACAATGAGACATGCAGAATAAATACATAAATAAATACTAAAATGACACTTACCTTTATTGAAGAGTATTGATGAGTGATGAGACACTGTTTTTCTTCAACACTCTAGGATTTTCAGAGTGATACATGAGTAAAGGCTTCACTTTGCAATCCCCACTAGCATTACAACAAAACATGAGAGTTAGCCTGTCTTTCATAGGCTTGTGTCCTGGGAGTGCCTTTTCCTCCTGAGTAATGTAGGTCCTGTTTGGCATTTTCTTCCAGAACAGCCCTGTTTTGTCACAATTGAACACTTGTTGGGGTTAGAATTTTTCAGCTTCGCCATGCCTTATCACACTGTGTATGCCACTACGATTCTTAAATCTCTCAAACCAACTTTTGCTGGCCTTAAATTCACCAATATGAGCACAAGTTCCAGGCTTTTTTTCCTGTTCCCCTGGATGTTAGTCGACTGGTGTGGGCCGCATCCTGGGGGACAAGATTAAGGACCCCAATGGAAATAAGTTAGACAGTCCTCGATAATGCACTGACTTTCTTGGGTTATCCTGGGTGGCTAACCCTCTGGGGTTAATTGTTTCTTGTTAAGCCACACCAACAAAAGTCTCTCCACATCTTTGAATAGTACAGCTGACGGTGGCGCAGCAGCAGCTGACGGTAGTGAAGCAGCAGCAACAGCTGACCGTGGTACAGCAGTAGCTGACGGTGGTACAGCAACAGCTGATGGCGGTGCAGCATCAGCAGCTGACCGTGGTACAGCAGCAGCTGATGGTGGTGTAACAGCAGCTGACCATGGTACAGCGGCAGCTGACTGGTGCAGCAGCAGCTGATGGTGGTTCAGCAGCAGCTGATGGTGGTACAGCAGCAGCTGACGGTGGTGCAGTATCAGCTGACCGTGGTACGATAGTATTTTGATAGTATTTCTCACCCTTTATCACAGGGTTGGCACTAGAAGCTTTCTTTGGGCCCATGGTGGCTTATTTAGCAGTTACAAGCACTAAAACCATTGAAATAATACAAAATGTATTAAATGTATGCATGGAACCGTCTGCCTTGGCTTGTAAACAATGGCACACTAGCTGAAGGCAGGGCATCTGAGGCGCTCAGGCTGGATGGACAGGCAGACGCGTTTGGGACAAATGTCCTTACCCGAGTTTTTCATCGTTGGTCGAGCCAATACTTTTACGCAAAAACGCATCGTTACCCGATTTTATAGTTAGTTGATGCCATCGTTGGTCAAGGGTCCACTCTATGCAGTAGGACAATAAGAAAGACCTCAGGATTAGAGGTTAGGATGAGGTCAGGATGAGGTAATCATCAGTCAGGTCCCAGTATAGACACAATCATAATTAATGAGGTGAGATATATTGGGCAGCATAGACACAACTAGAGAAAGCTGTATCAACATTAGTTTCCCAAAATTCTTCAGCCTTCTACCACCATATATGAGAGAGATTGCAAGAATATAGGTATAAGTTTTCAAGAGGAAATTGGATTACATCCTGAAACAAAGGACTAAATCACTTGGGTTATCATGGCTCTGCAGGCCTACATACTGCTGGCATCAACAGCCTGGTTGACCAGGCAGTCAACAACGAAGCTTGGTCATAAATAGAACTGAAGCAAGTCACAGATGTATCACAGTATATGGACATTAAAGATCACATTAGTTTTGTAATATAACTCTTTCCATTAAAAAAGTTGGGAATAATGTTACATATGAATAATGTGGTATGGAGGCACTTTAAATGGGGTTCTATGAACATACTAAGAGATAACATTAAGTGTAGAAAGATTAAGACTTTTCAACACTTTCACTTTGTATGTAAGGGGGAATTACCATCAGACCCTTGGCTGTCTTCTAGTTTAAAGTTGATAAGTTCTCAAATCAGTACCTGGTCAGCTGGGCTGTGGTCCATATGCTGGACAGTGTGTGGCCACCACCAACAGCCTAAGTGATCAAGCAGTCCACCAGAAAGCCTTGTCTGAGAACAGGCCATTAGGTGGTAATCCCTGAAATCATCTCGAAACTAATATTACTTTCATCGTATTAGCAATATCGAGATTTGTGAACTCTAATGTAAGTATACCAAGGAGAAATGCAGTATTCCACGTCAGTTCCGTATATTTATGGTGTGCACCAATTTCTATGCTAAAATTTGAGTCTTTTTATTTTTGTGACCTCTATGCTGGTTACACTGTCAAAATGGTCAGATTGCTAATAAAATTAAATGTGAATTATACTGTTCAGTATTTAAACATGTATAACTTTTTTATTAGTAGAAATATAAATAGATTACTGATTTATTGGTACAATTTTTTAGGTAGCATTAAGCATTGGTTGCCATTATCACTTGCTCTGCTTCAGGTTTGCTACACATTTGATGCTGGTCCAAATGCTTGTTTATTTGTCCCTGGAGCTGTTGTGGAAGAAGTCTTAGCATTGTTACTTTTTGCCTTCCCACCCAGTTCATCACAAAGCCCTGCTGAGTATGTTAGAGGCATTCAGGCTCACCCAGTCACTCTGTCTAAGGTGAGTGGCATCTTTGTCATTTTATGTTTTAAGACAGTGGTTGTTTTCTACCAAGATAGGGTGTTCCAGTGAAGGAAACACATTCATTATCATTCATTCATTAGCTGTCTTTCCTAAAGTGTTCATGTATCATAATTCAGTGGCTCTGAACTACTATGTCCCAGCCCATCCATCCATCCTTAAGAATATAAGCACTGTACTTTGCATCTCCCATACTGGAACATTCCTTCCCATCTTTTTCAGGTGTAGGCACTGTACTTCCCACCTCCAGATATTTATTCATTATCAGGAAATAGGGCTACTTTTATTCTTTGAATAAAAACTTAGCCATTGTAAGCCTGAAATGTGGCTGAGAAATTTCTAGTCAGGATTGAGTAAGAATATATCCAATGTGGATTAAATTTGTATTCCATATATAGGTAGTAGGTTGGTAGACAGCAGCCACCCAGGGAGGTACTACTGTCCTGCCAAGTGAGTGTAAAACGAAAGCCTGTACGTATTTTACATGATAGTAGGATTGCTGGTGTCTTTTTTTTCTGTCTCTTAAACATGCAAGATTTCAGGTACGTCTTGCTACTTCTACTTACACTTAGGTCACACTATACATACATGTACAAGCATATATATATGCACACACCCCTCTGGGTTTTCTTCTATTTTCTCACTAGTTCTTGTTCTTGTTTATTTTCTCTTACCTCCATGGGGAAGTGGAAAAGAATTCTTCCTCCGTAAGCCATGCGTGTTGTAAGAGGCGACTAAAATGCCGGGAGCAAGGGGCTAGTAACCCCTTCTCCTGTATATATTACTAAATGTAAAAGGAGAAACTTTCGTTTTTTTCTTTTGAGCCACCCTGCCTCGGTGGGATACGGCCAGTGTGTTGAAAGAAAGAAGAAAAGGAGAAACTTTCGTTTTTCCTTTTGGGCCACCCCACCTCAGTGGGATACGGCTGGTGCGTTGAAAGAAAGAAATATCATAACACTACAGTTTTAGGGCTGAATCACCCTTATGTTTGTGGTGTATTTCTTTTAGTAGCTAATACTGTACGCATATGAATATGAATAATGAAATTGTAGAAATTTATGCATACAAGATAATAAAGAAAAATAAACACATCAGTTACCTCATTGAGCATAATTCCAAGATGTGGAACGTATTGCAGAACTGCAAGTCCATTCATTGTTCAAGTTTTATTATCATCATAAAACCTCAAATAATTTATTAGATTTATGGGCAAGCCAATGTCCTAATGCATCTACACTTGTACTCAAGTATTTCACTCAAGGGGGTTCCTTGATGCTGGTGAGGGGCTTCTGATACAAGGAATTGGATTTGTTTTCTTCCTTGGATTAAAACTGCCTCCATTACACAGGCACTTTATGATCCCCCTATGGATTTAGTTCTTCCCTCTAAGTATAATAATAATAATCTGCATGTTATGAGTACTCCTCATAATTATAATTCTGAAGGTTAAGTAATCTTTTCCTTCATCCTTGTAGATGTTGAAAAACCAAGTAGGGAATAGATTATTTGAGAGTAGGCTACACCTTAATTTTTATGTTACCCACAACAGCTTTTACCCACCAAAATAGTGACCCAAAGAAGGAAATGCATTCACCATCTCAAATTCAGTAGCTGTTTTACCATGAGTGTTTTAACATTACAAATCAAATAATCCTCTGAATCATAACATCCCCACCCATTCTTCAGAGTGAAGGCACTGTACTTTCCACTTCCAGAACTTCTTTCTTCTTTCTTTCAACAAACCGGCCGTATCCCACCTAGGCAGGGTGGCCCAAAAAGAAAAACAAAAGTTTCTCTTTTTAAATTTAGTAATTTATACAGGAGAAGGGGTTACTAGCCCCTTGCTCCCAGCATCTTAGTTGCCTCTTACAACACTCATGGCTTACGGAGGAAGAATTCTGTTCAACCTCCCCATGGAGATAACAGGAAATAAACAAGAATAAGAACAAGCAAGCGTGCATGAGCGTGTTAGATAGGAGTGAATGGAGATGAATGGTACTTGGGACCTGACGATCTGTTGGAGTGTGAGCAGGGTAATATTTAGTGAAGGGATTCAGGGAAACCGGTTATTTTCATATAGTCGGACTTGAGTCCTGGAAATGGGAAGTACAATGCCTGCACTTTAAAGGAGGGGTTTTGGGATATTGGCAGTTTGGAGGGATATGTTGTGTATCTTTATATGTGTATGCTTCTAGACTGTTGTATTCTGAGCACCTCTGCAAAAACAGTGATAATGTGCGAGTGTGGTGAAAGTGTTGAATGATGATGAAAGTATTTTCTTTTTGGGGATTTTCTTTCTTTTTTGGGTCACCCTGCCTCGGTGGGAGACGGCCGACTTGTTGAAAAAAAAAAAAAAGAACTAGTAAGAAAATAAAAGAAAACCCAGAGGGGTGTGTATATATTTTTTTTTTTTTTTTTTTTTTTTAACAAGTCGGCCGTCTCCCACCGAGGCAGGGTGACCCAAAAAAGAAAGAAAATTCCCAAAAAGAAAATACTTTCATCATCATTCAACACTTTCACCACACTCACACATTATCACTGTTTTTGCAGAGGTGCTCAGAATACAACAGTTTAGAAGCATACACATATAAAGATACACAACATATCCCTCCAAACTGCCAATATCCCAAAACCCCTCCTTTAAAGTGCAGGCATTGTACTTCCCATTTCCAGGACTCAAGTCCGACTATATGAAAATAACCGGATTCCCTGAATCCCTTCACTAAATATTACCCTGCTCACACTCCAACAGATCGTCAGGTTCCAAGTACCATTCGTCTGCATTCACTCCTATCTAACACGCTCACGCACGCTTGCTGGAAGTCCAAGCCCCTTGCCCACGAAACCTCCTTTACCCCCTCTCTCCAACCTTTTCGAGGACGACCCCTACCCCGCCTTCCTTCCCCTATAGATTTATATGCTTTCCATGTCATTCTACTTTGATCCATTCTCTCTAAATGACCAAACCACCTCAACAACCCCTCTTCTGCCCTCTGACTAATACTTTTATTAACTCCACACCTTTTCCTAATTTCCACACTCGAATTTTCTGCATAATATTTACACCACACATTGCCCTTAAACAGGACATCTCCACTGCCTCCAACCGTCTCCTCGCTGCTGCATTTACCACCCAAGCTTCACACCCATATAAGAGTGTTGGTACTACTATACTTTCATATATTCCCTTCTTTGCCTCCATAGATAATGTTTTTTGACTCCACATATACCTCAATGCACCACTCACCTTTTTTCCCTCATCAATTCTATGATTAACCTCATCCTTCATAAATTCATCCGCCGACACGTCAACTCCCAAGTATCTGAAAACATTCACTTCTTCCATACTCCTCCTCCCCAATTTGATATCCAATTTTTCTTTATCTAAATCATTTGATACCCTCATCACCTTACTCTTTTCTATGTTCACTTTCCACTTTCTACCTTTACACACATTCCCAAACTCATCCACTAACCTTTGCAATTTTTCTTTAGAATCTCCCATAAGCACAGTATCATCAGCAAAAAGTAACTGTGTCAATTCCCATTTTGAATTTGATTCCCCAAAATTTAATCCCACCCCTCTCCCGAACACCCTAGCATTTACTTCCTTTACAACCCCATCTTTATTATTATTATTATCACACTGGCCGATTCCCACCAAGGCAGGGTGGGCCGAAAAAGAAAAACTTTCACCATCATTCACTCCATCACTGTCTTGCCAGAAGGGTGCTTTACACTACAGTTTTTAAACTGCAACATTAACACCCCTCCATCTATAAATATATTAAACAACCATGGTGACATTACACATCCCTGTCTAAGACCTACTTTTACCGGGAAGTAGTTTCCCTCTCTTCTACACACCCTAACCTGAGCCTCACTATCCTCATAAAAACTCTTTACAGCATTTAATAACTTACCACCTATTCCATATACTTGCAACATCTGCCACATTGCTCCTCTATGCATTCTATCATATGCCTTTTCTAAATCCATAAATGCAATAAAAACTTCCCTACCTTTATCTAAATACTGTTCACATATATGCTTCAATGTAAACACTTGATCTACACATCCCCTACCCACTGTGAAACCTCCTTGCTCATCCGCAATCCTACATTCTGTCTTACCTCTAATTCTTTCAATTATAACCCTACCGTACACTTTTCCTGGTATACTCAGTAAATTTATTCCTTTATAATTTTTACAGTCTCTTTTGTCCCCTTTCCCTTTATATAAAGGGACTATACATGCTCTCTGCCAATCCCTAGGTACCTTCCCCTCTTTCATACATTTATTAAACAAAAGTACCAACCACTCCAACACTATATCTCTCCCTGCTTTTAACATCTCTGTCATGATCCCATCAGTTCCAGCTGCTTTACCCCCTTTCATTCTACGTAATGCCTCACGTACCTCCCCCACACTTACATTCTGCTCTTCTTCACTCCTAAAAGATGGTATACCTCCCTGACCAGTGCATGAAATTACTGCCTCTCTTTCTTCCTTAACATTTAAAAGTTCCTCAAAATATTCTAGCCATCTACCTAATATCTCCATCTCCCCATCTACTACCTCCCCTACTCTGTTTTTAACTGACAAATCCATACTTTCCCTAGGCTTTCTTAACTTGTTTAACTCACTCTAAAATTTTTTCTTATTTTCATTAAAATTTCTTGACAGTGCCTCTCCCACTCTATCATCTGCTCTCCTTTTGCACTCTCTCACCACTCTCTTTACCTTTCTTTTACTGTCCATATACTCTGCTCTTCTTATAACACTTCTGCTTTGTAAAAACCTCTCATAAGCTACCTTTTTCTCTTTTATCACACCCTTTACTTCATCATTCCACCAATCCCTCCTCTTTCCTCCTGCCCCCACCCTCCTATAACCACAAACTTCTGCCCCACATTCTAATACTGCATTTTTAAAACTATTCCAACCCTCTTCAACCCCCCCACTATATGCTTGTACATGTATGTGTAGTGTGACCTAAGTGTAAGAAGTAGCAAGACGTACCTGAAATCTGCATGTTTATGAGACAGAAAAAAGACACCAGCAATCCTACCATCATGTAAAATAATTACAGGTTTCCATTTTACACTCACTTGGCAGGACAGTAGTACCAACCTACTACCTAGAACTTCCAGAACTTGAGTATGAATTTTTTCATAATTGTTGCCTTGTTCACACTGCAACAACATGTCATAACACAAAAACCACTTGCTCTATTTAGACATGCTCACATATACCTGTTTGATGTTCAAGTCCTGCTATTGAAAACCTATTTCACCAACTTTCTGGGAGATCTGCTGCATCTGCCATCCATTATTTTATTATATATGCCATTATTTTAATATATATACTGATGGAGTGTAAGAAGATTAACATTAACGGAGGAATTCAGGGAAACCAGTTAACTGAAATTGAGGAAGGGTGAAAAGTTGCGTTGGGAGAGTAATCTAATTGTGATTCCAGCACATTTCTGGAAAGACTCCAACTGAGTGAATGTGTTTTCTTCTTTGGGTCATCGTGCCTTGGTGGAAGATGACCTTTGAGTTAAAAAAAAAATTATTATTATAACAAAAAATGACAACATAAACTATGCCTGTATAGGCCTTGTTACATGAAGCTTTCACAATTTTGTACATAAATCAACCAAAAAATCTTAACCCTATCTTAATGGTAGGAAGTGTGTAGTCATTCTGATGCAAGGCAGATTGCTTCCTTCAAGGCAAGAAACATCACCATGTTCCATGGAGGTCTGTTTATTTCCAGGAACTGACATCCATGGCTGGCGAAGATATTGAAAGTGGAAAATTAATGTACCTAATTCATACCAAAGTAGGTGATGGACCTCGAGTGATACCTGATGCTGATGAGAGTCTTCTAGATGCAACAACAGGTTTGCCAAAGCCAGCTAGTGGTGCTGCATAGGGCTGGATAAGTAGAAGTAAAATCTGGAGCCCATGCAGAAGGCTGCTATTCATTTGTTTGCAGTTATTGTTTCAACATATCTAAAAGAGTTTAACTTAAAGGATAAATAGAATTATATGAGAAAGGTATTATGCTCTCTAGAATTGATATATGTAGTTCAAAAACAAAATAAAAAGTATTGCTAAATTTCAAGCCCTGTAGGTGTATAGTCATACAGTATGTTAACAGTGCAATAAAAAGGGTTAACATACTCAAATAAAGCTGATGGAGTATGATGGTCTTTAAAGAAATTGCTTGATTAAGCACAGATTGTGACAGCTGAATGTCATATTTACTGAGCCGGATTCAATATATTTAACCCTTTCAGTGTCAGTCACGTTGTTCAACGGCTTTGAAGCCAGCATCAGTCCCTGTAGTACTACACCATGAGTTCAGCTCACTCAAATAAGCTGTGAATGGTAACTTTGGGCCTAGATATGAGAGAATGGGTCTAGGCGATAAGTGTGCACCATATAAAAAAAATCCTGCAGCACGCAGTGCTGCTGTTGTGGTTAACATAAAAATTAAGGCATAGCCTACTCTCAAATAATCTATTCCCTACTTGGTTTTTCCACATCTACAAGGATGAAGGAAAAGATTAAAACATTGACTGTACAGTGTATTTTCGTATGGCTTTTATGGTTGTATTATCAGTTTCATTTTATAGAATGGAACATATAGAAATAGAGATGATTTTGAGTGGTTTCAGGACTTAAAGTAGCTTGAAATTGAGCTCAAAGTAGCAGAAATGTTCAATTTTTGCCAATATTCCAATAAGCGTCCATCTGGCCAGTCTAATATGCATTTAGGAATGCACTGACATTATTTTTACAATTATTACAATAATGCAGTACAGTAGTCTGCATAACAGTAAATCTTCTATTTTTAGTATGAATAAAAATTCAAGCTGGAAAGCAAGTGTAATATAAGAGAGGCCTGGGAACATAACTAATGAACAGAGGGAATGTTTTTTTAGTGCCAGGAATGTCTACATTGTTTATTCTGAACCCTATTTCTAAATTGGCATTTTTTAATTTTGTGTGAAATTGGCCAAATTACCAATTTCTGATCACTTTATTGGATAGTTGAAATAGGTAAATGGGTGTTTCTTGTACTCAGTTGATAAAATAGAAGGAATACCAGCAAAACAGGTATGAGTTTGGTCAACTGGAACAATGGAATTGGCCAAAAACAGGGTGCAAAGCGGGCAAAATCACTGATGTGTAAATATCGCCGAGATCACTAACTTTGTGATAGTGTAATTCCATGAGTTTTCCATCAAATTTAATACTTTTGGTTTCACTACCTTCAGAAAAAGATTCTCTATCATTTCTTAAGTTTTTTTTTTTACCTAGAGAGAGAGAATTTGAGATCAGGAGTCTCAACCCTGAAAGGGATATAATATGTGTGCTTGTATTGTATATTTAATTTGATGATCATTCCACCTATATCTGTACCTAACACATTAATAAATCATTACCCAAAATTAAATGGAATCATGGAAAATACTGTACTTAAACAGCTTCTAGGAGAGAACTTATGTTTTACTCTGAAGTCCTTTTACTAGCTGCTTCAAAGCTGTACATCATCACAAAATAATAATAAGTCAGACTCTAATGGTAATAGGCTTACCTTCACCAGTCACAGATCAGATCAGACTCGGAAAAAATTAACAAGTACACTGTAATGTGCAAGTTTTAATAGATAGTGACATGCAGTTTGGCAATTTGAGTGAGGAACTTATTAATTGCATATTTTATGCCACATTTAAGTTTAGACTGAAATATTAATTTGGAAATAATAGAAAGTTACCTTTTGTAGGTCCCTCATATCCTCAGCCTATTTATATGATCAAATTAAAGATAGTATTACACACGATTTTGAGATTTAAAATATGCACATGCATTTCTGCAAAATAATTGTTAGTTCAAAATGTGCAGAGTACAACACTTCCATAGTGCCTTCCATATATTTGTAGCTTGCTTCCTACAGTACCAAGAAGCTTTATGAAAGTGTTTTGGAAAATATAAGAATGCATAATGTTATTGATCATTGCTATACTTCAAAGCAATGTTTGTTTAACTTATAAGAAAAGTACCATACAGTATTATATTTATGATCTGTCTTCACTTCAAACCTAACCAATAGAGATAACCGTAACCTTGAAATACGTTCTTGAGAATATAAACATGTTTAACTATGTGTAGAGTAAGCCCTCTCAAAATGCATGGGTTACATTTCTGAAAATTAGGGCATACCATAAAATAGTATTATGTGAAAATATAGAACATGCAGGAAAAATAGTTACATTCCAGACCTTTCCAAATTTGACAAGCATTTTAATTATTTTACATGTACAGTACTATTCTTTCTTCTTTCTTTCAACACACCGAGGCAGGGTGGCCCAAAAGGAAAAACGAAAATTTCTCCTTTTACATTTAGTAATATATACAGCAGAAGAGGTTACCAGCCCCTTGCTCCCGGCATTTTAGTCGCCTCTTACAACGCGCATGGCTTACGGAGGAAGAATTCTGTTCCACTTCCCCATGGAGATAAGAGGAAATAAACAAGAATAAGAACTAGAAAGAAAATAGAAAACCCAGAGGGGTGTGCATATATGTGCTTGTACATGTATGTGTAGTGTGACCTAAGTGTAAGCAGAATTAGCAAGACATACCTGAAATCTTGCATGTTCATGAGACAGAAAAAAGGACACCAGCAATCCTACCATCATGTAAAACAATTACAGGCTTTCATTTTTACACTCACTTGGCAGGACAGTAGTACCTCCCTGGGCGGTTGCTGTCTACCAACCTACTATCTAGGTACAGTACTATTATTCTAGGTAAAAATTACTAAAGTATAACTTGCCTTACAGTCTAGTAGTGCTTTCTTGAGATGAAGATTATAGCGAGGGTTGATGTGGGCTCTGCTGGTCTGAGGTGTTCTTGTGTTGATACAGAATTGTCAGTAGTTGAAAGTTGAGTGGGAATACTCAAGTGTTCTGTAAATACATCTTTTATATATTTTACCCTGTAGTATTTTATAGATCTGACAGTTGTGAAGAGAACTGTGTATTATAAAACCTTCAACTCATCCAGCACTAAATACACCATCCAGTACTAAATACACACTGTTGTAAAGGTTCACCTTTTTTCTCTCGTGCAGTTTTAGAGTACATTAGAATTCTGTGCCTTATTATCTGAGCACTAAGTGGGGTCCCTATTTTTTTTTCCTCAGTCCACACATTATTTTGATCAGGTGACACTGTCCTATTTGATACACAAGTTTTTATTTATTCTCAGTGTTCCTAATTGTATGAATGGTTAATTCATTCCCACAAAATTATCTGGCAGTTTTTATTACATGTGAACCCCCTATTAGCATATCAACAGAATTGTAAAATCATACTTATTTTATTGAGCATTCCACTTGGGTGCCATAGTAAATATCTAGAGACCAGATACAGTGATGAATATATCCAAAATAGCTTGATAAACAGTGAGAGGCATAAGATGTTTCCAGGTGGTGTGGATTATCAGTGGAAGGTAATGAGTTATGTACAAGGGTGTGTAGTACCCAAATTTTGTACATAACATAATGTAGTACTAATATCTCATGTTAGCTGATTCTTTTATTTTTTTTTTTTATCATTCAAGCTGTCTCCCACCCAGGTAGAGTGACGTGATAAAGAATAAAACACTTTCACAGTCACTCATTCAGTTACTGTTTTGTCAGAATTGCACTGACATTACAATTCAGATGACCCAGACCACATCCCCAATCCTTCCAGAGTTAGGCACTGTACTTTCTACCTTCCGAACTCAAGTCCAGCGAACCAGTTTCCCTGAATCCCTTCATAAATGTTACCTTGCAGATTCCAGCAACATGTCAAATTATAAAAAAAATTTCCTTCACTTGCTCCTGTCTAACACGCTCACACAAACCTGTTGGATGTTCAAGTCCCTAGCACTCAAAACCTCTTTTATTCCCCACCTCTCTACAACTTTTTCTAGGATGACTTCCCTACTCCTTCCCTCCACCCCCAGATTAATATGCCTTCCTAGTCATCCTATTTTTCTCCATTCTCTCTAAGTCTCCAAACCACCTCAACAGCCGTCCTCATCCCTCTGAATAATACCTTTGGTAACTCCACACCTACTCTCCAAACTTTGAATTCACTACATAATATTCACACTTTCACCCTCTTCCTCAGTGCAACATTTTTGTGCACTATCAATTTTTTTTAGTTGCATCTCTCTAAATCATGTTTCAAGCAAATCACACATGATGTCAAATTCTAAGAGGGTTTACTGTACAGTGGAACCTCAAAAATTGAACTGCTCCCAACACAACCAGTTATGTAAGTGCATTTTTGTAAGTGCTTTTATAAGTGTATTTTTGAGGGTCTGAAATGAACTAATCTAATTTACATTATTCCTGATGGGAATAAATTCATTCGGTAAAGGCACTCGAACAGCCTTCTGGACCGAAGAAAGTTCGATATTTGAGGTTCCACTGTACATGAGTAGACAGATAAAAACAAGATGTTTATATATAGTATCTTGAAATGTGATGGCTACACTTCTGACAAGACTGCTATTGAATAAATAATGTGAATGTATTCACTTTGGGTTACCCTGCCTTGGTGGGATATAGCCAGTATATAGTTAAAAAAAATAAATATGGTTATTTTTTTTCCTGGAAAAGAAATCATAATTTAATGAGTAAATTTTAAGATTGCAGTATTTATATGACTTACATGGAAAAGATTGATCTTTGTAGATGTTTACAAATTATTGATGATGAAAGACTGTATTGTCTTAAATAGGGAATAGTTGCTCTAATTTTATGGGTAGTTGCATCTGAAAACAGAAAACTTAGTGTAAGTGTGTAGGAGAGAGGGAGATTACTTCCCAGTTAAAGTAGGTTTCAGACAGGGATGTGTAATGTCACCATGGTTGTTTAACATATTTATAGATGGGGTTGTAAAAGAAGTAAATGCTAGGGTGTTGGGGAGATGGGTGGGATTAAATTATGGGGAATCAAATACAAAATGGGAGTTGACACAGTTACATTTTGCTGATACTGTACTTCTGGGAGAGTCTAAAGAAAAGTCGCAAAGGTTAGTGGACGAGTTTGGGAGGGTGTGTGTGTAAAGGTAGAAAGTTAAAAGTGAACTTAGATAAGAGTAAGGTGATGAGGGTATCAAACGATTTATAAAAATTGGATATCGCATTGGAGGGAGGGAGTATGGAAGAAGTAAATGTATTCAGATACAGCCTCTCCTCACTTAGTGATGTACCCATTTACTGACCCCTCAGACTTAAAACGGGCTCTCTGACCAGTATGCACAACTATATTTTATATATTAGAGTTGATTTCCTCTGTTCTGTTTAATACAATATGTAGTACACTACTGCATAAACTTTTAAGAATGTACCAGAAATGTTATAAATAGTGCAGAGGTGACATTAAAACAATATCAAAGATGGTTAACACAAACTCACTACCATTATAGTATACTTTTCACTTAGCGATGAATTCGTTTACCAACATGGTCTCAGGAACGGAACTCCATCATTAAGTGACGAGAGGCTGTATTTGGGAGTCGACTTGTCAGCAGATGGCTTTATGAAGGATGAGGTTAACCATAGAATTGATGAAGGAAAAAAGGTGAGTGGTGCTTTGAGGTATCTGTGGAGACAAAAAACGTTATCCATGGAGGAAAAGAAGGGAATGTACGAGAGTATAGTGGTACCAGCAATCTCATATGGGTGTGAAGTTACTAAAAGTATTAGAGGGCTGAAGAGGGATTGTTGAGGTGGTTTGGTCATTTAGAGAGGATGGAACAAAGTAGAATGACTTAGCATATAAATCTGTAGGGTAAGGAAGGTAGAGTAGGAGTCGTCTTAGGAAAGATTGGAGGGAGGGGGTAAAGGAGGTTTTGTGGGTGAGGGGCTTGGACTTCCAGCAAGCGTGCGTGTGTGTGTTAGATAGGAGTCAGTGGAGACAAATGGTTTTTGGGACCTGACAAGCTGTTGGAGTGTGAGCAGGGTAATATTTTGTGAAGCGAGTCAGGGAAACTGGTTAGCCAGACTTGAGTCCTGGAGGTGAGAAGTACAATGCCTGCACTTTAAAGGAGGGATTTGGGATATTGGCTATTTGGAGGGACATATAAACTGTCATATCTGAGTGCCTCTGCAAAGACAGTGATTATGTATGAATGATGAAAGTTTTTTCTTTCCTTTTGGGTTTTTTTCTTTTTGGGTCATCCTGCCTTAATGGGAAACAGCCGACATGTTAAAAAAAAATCAATATTTTTTATTTTGCTTGAATAAACAAATTAAAATGATCATCTATAAATATTTAGAGTTTTAAAATATTTTAATAGAATTATAACAAAAAACTGAACTCATTGCTGAAATCTATATTAATCAAAATCAAATATAATACAGCATATTTCAGCTCAGTATGCTAATGTAAGTGGAAGAAGTGCAGTGAGAAATATAACTTGTGGAGTTTCACATTTGGAGACTTGGCAACACACTTCACCTTGTTTACCATTCACTGTGAATGCCTTGATGCTGGTGAAGTGCTCTTGATACAAGGATTTGGAGCTATCTTCCTTGAATCAAACCTGATACCCTTCCATTCTGCAGGTACTACATGACCCTCTACAAGTTTAGCAATTCCCATGATTATAATAATCACTTTAATAGACTTTCAACTTTTTGTATAAGTATTGTTCACTGATGTAGTATTGCTTGCCATTAGTTTTCTCAAATTAGGGAGGCTGCCATTTTATACTGTAAAGGTTTAATTTTTGGCTACTCATAAATTGTTAAATTATTACTGTTTAGTGTAATTTGAGTCATTTAGTCACCTGTGCAAGGAATTGCTTGCATGTTAAGTACTGTGTACCTTGTAAGGGTATTTCACAGTTATTAGTCCCAGCCATGCGATTTTTTTTAATTTTAGTGTCACCAGTGTTTTTAGGGTATTAAATTTAAATTTTAGATTAGCAAAATTTTTTAGACATTTTTTTAATACTATACTTTATATTCAGAATAGCCTTAACTAGCCTTCTACAAATGAGGTCTTCCAGTGGATAATTTCTGCTTAGACACTCTAATGACTTAGCATTAACTAGGCAAGAAACTATTATAGTTAGGCAGCATTATTCATAATTGCATTAACTAGGTAACAAACTATAGTAGATAGGCAGCATTATACATAACTTTATATGTTGTAGTACAATAAGTCCTCACTTAATGTCATCAGTAGTTCTTGGAAACTGCGACTTTAAGTGAAATGATGTATAACAAAACCAATTTTACCATAGGCTAACTGATATAAACATCAGGGGTGCACAGTGCACCTTTAGCACTCGTATATTGGAATAAATGCTTGCAAAGCAAAAATTGTAAGGATCATCTCCTACCACCGGGCAGTTCAAAAACGAACGTGCAAACTCCACATAGACAGTGGTCCCGGCCGGGAATCAATTTTATTTTTCATCAGCGTTATGACAAAACCATGTCAAACGAAATGATGTGAAGTGAGGACTTATTCTATAGGCTTCATAGTAAACATATTTTTTGTGCATTTTAATACAGTTGTACTAGAACTGTATTGTTGATAATGTGACCACTTGTGATATGAAGCTGCATCTCCGTGTGTGACTGATATACGTGTATATTATTATGGGCTTCCAATTTTATTGAGGCACAAGAATGTACCCTTCAAGTTGACAGTGTTTATTTTTATTTACAGATTCAAAGAAATGTAATATAATCAGGAAAATAAATACAGTAGGGCCCCACTTATACGACAGGTTAGGTTCCATGCTACTGCCGTAAAGCAGAAATCGCCGTAAAGTGGAACGCCCTTTTTTTCCACTTATAAATGCATATAAATACTAGATAACAAATTTACACTAACATATATTAAGTTAGCAATAGTTAGCAATAGAACTAGGCATTAAAAACAAAAAAGTGAAATACACATATAGTACACGCATTACTTACCTTAAAATATTTGTAGTCTTAATGTAGGGTGAGATGAGTAGTATGTATTGTAAGAAATCAAGTGTGGTATGTATGGTAGCCAGCCAGGCTACCATACCAGGCCACCCCACCCACACATAATATGCTATGACATTTAAAGGGTCCCAGAGCAATAATATGCATATACAGTGCACTCCTTACTTACCTAAAATGTAGGGTCAGAGGTGAGTAAATGAGATAAAAACAAAAAATGAGAGAGAGAGAGAATGAATACATGAGAGAGGCCAACCAGAGAGTTATGTAAACAAACCAGGCAGACGCAGGTTTTGTAAACAAACCAGGCGATGCATCTGGTTTGTTTACAAGATACATTCTGTACAAGTTGTCTCCACGTTGATATAGTAGAATAAATAAAGAGCAATGCTCCCATTCTCATGTAACACCATTTTTAGAAGAAATGATGCTCTGAGTGAAGGCATACGAAAGGAATAATTTTCTACAGTTACCCCCAGTAATATTATAGTGTACACATTTTCTCAGATGTTGGACTAAAGGAAATGTTATTCTTGCCGTCACTCGTACAAGTCGTCTGGCTACCACATCTCATATTTGTTAATTTATTCTACAATGGGGTGTATTTATCATGTTTATATGTTTGGAATCTTGTTTCTTATATAATTTAGAAAAAATATCATAGCTAGATTAATGAAAATGTGTATATTACAGTAATATACGACATTAATGAGACTCGGTAATTATTATTGAGTACGTATTATTATTATTATTTTTTTTATTATTGTTATCATCATTTTTAATATGGTGTCTTGAGACATAAAACACTCTTACTGATTTTAATGTGTACCTGCATGCCAGCACAGTGTGTAAGTTTATTTAGGTACAGGTATACATAAGTATCAGTCTGTCTGTAGTGGAAGGAAGGCGGGGTAGGGGTCGGCCTAGGAAAGGTTGGAGGGAGGGGGTAAAGGAGGTTTTGTGTGCGAGGGGCTTGGACTTCCAGCAGGCGTGCGTGAGCGTGTTTGATAGGAGTGAATGGAGACGAATGGTTTTTAATACTTGACGTGCTGTTGGAGTGTGAGCAAAGTAACATTTATGAAGGGGTTCAGGGAAACCGGCAGGCCGGACTTGAGTCCTGGAGATGGGAAGTACAGTGCCTGCACTCTGAAGGAGGGGTGTTAATGTTGCAGTTTAAAAACTGTAGTGTAAAGCACCCTTCTGGCAAGACAGTGATGGAGTGAATGATGGTGAAAGTTTTTCTTTTTCGGGCCACCCTGCCTTGGTGGGAACCGGCCAGTGTGATAATAAAAAATAAAAAAAAATAAGTATACATAAGTATAATTATCAGAGAATATATAAAATATGAAATAAATTTTAAAAACACTTGAAATTTTGGAAAATTTCCAGATATAATGGAGAGATGTGATGCTCACAGAGCTCATGGAGAATGTAAACAAACCGGGTGGGGCGCGGTGACCATATTAGAAAGTGAGGTGGGGGGGAGCTGTATAGTGAGTTTCGGTCATAATTTGAAATGTCCGTATTAACGGCACACCATAAAGCAAAACGCCATAAAGTGGGGCCGTACTGTACTGTAATGTAGTGCTATTGTTGGAAGATTTTTAGATACATACGATCCCCATAATTCACAGAAATAGGGTTACCAGAGGTAATGTGAATTCTGAAGTCACAAATAATAGAAAACTACACATCTGAGTTATTTAAACTTTTTGGCTTTATCTTTTCATGTATTGCTCTCATCTGTTTAATAATGACAATTAAAAAAAAAGAGCACATTCTTAATAAAATCATTGGGTTAGTTTTCAATTTGGGGGTTGTATACCAGGCAGATAAATAGCAGGCACCAAGAAAAATCATGAACAAAGCTGTCCACAAAATGGCCTTTGTCAGAAACAATGTATAATAGATTTGTGAAGCACATGAATTTCTGGGTTTGATTGCAAGTATTTTAGCTTAAGGTCTTTAATTTACCACATGCAGAACAATTAGCTTGCTGATTGTCTGGCTCCTTTGATGAGAGGTCACTCCAGATTTTAAAAAACTCTGGATATTGACATTTTTTTTTTTTTTTTTTTTTTTTTTTTTTTTTTTTTTTTTTTTTTTTTATGGTCTCTATCTGTTCAGGTGCTCTGTATGAAACAGATAATGTTAAAAGAAATGCTCTGCTTGACTAGGGGCTTTTGAAAATACAGTATATAAAATAGATTTCACCTATCATAATTTTGTAATAGTTATATTTTCAAAATAATTTTTTTTTGTTCACTGAATAATTTATTGTATTTTATGAAGGAAAAATTAAAGCTTGCCAAACATATTTTAATCAATAGAGTACCAAAGTCAAAAATGAAAATTCATTCCATTATGTACTGAATTATGTCTGTCATGGTAAATATCCTCAGTTTCAACCTGTTTAATTATTGATATCACTATTGCTGTTTTTTATAATTACTGAAATGTGGTCTGAAATATAGTGCCAGGTATGTTTGTTTTAGTTTTAGGACCTTATTGAGATAATGTACAGTAATTGTTTTGTGACGATTTATTTTAACAATATTGGTCTTTCATGCATTACTATCACAGGTTGTTTTCATTAAATGCGATCTGTAATATAGTTTTAAATATTTTTTGCTTTACAGTAGGGATGCAAAACTAGCAGCTTGTGACCCATGAGTAGCTCAGTTAATATCCTTGATGTTTTGTCTAAAAAATCAAATTATCACTGACTGACATTATACCTTCCATTGCCTTTACACAGTTTACAATCTCTACAATGTATACTCCATGACTTACTTTTTTAGTCATTATTATTTGGTACTTTATACAGTACCTAGGTGGATAAATCTTATTAAGCTTACATGGCCCACTGGTGAGAGAACTGGGCTGTTTCAGGACTGGATTGCCATGGGTTCCAATGCTGCTTATCCCATGGGTTTTTTGAGGGAGAAGTTTTAAGTAATAATCATACAAAAAAATGCGAAAGTACAATATTAATGAGAGTCTGTAGTACCTATAGTTAATTAATACCTAATAGTGAGAGGTTAAAATTTCAGTCACCAAAGTGTACACTAGGACAGACTGTGGATGTGGTAATCAGGAAGACTGCTACAGCAAGAGCTAAGTCACACTGGCCGATTCCCACCACCAAGGCAGGGTGGCCCGAAAAAGAAAAACTTTCACAATCATTCACTAGTGTATGAAATTGTAAAAAGTACACTGCAGTGGTTCCTAAACCTCTGGATCATTTTTGTCACTGAAAAGGAAAGAGCAGTTCTAGAGCTTGAAAACAAAGTTGCTCTCTGTGACCTAGAATTTGTTGATATTGCCAGATACCTAAAGAACTTCAATAATGTACTTCAAGAGAGTATTCTGTTTCTTTCACAACTTGCTAAATATTTTCTTAAGCTTTTCAGTGCAACATTTCTGCTGTTTGTCATAATGCCTTTAAGGTAAACTATAAAATTTTCCAACATATCAAAAAAAAAAAAAAAAATTGAAAAGCAGTGCAAATCACAAATCTAAAACTTGTGCAAGAGACTGAATTCTTCATGAATATTTTAATAAAAATTTTAGTGATTTCAAGAATAAAAAAGATTTGCAGCTGTTCAGCAATCCTTTATCGTTTAACAGTGAGCTAAAATCCCACTTACAACTGATTAATTTATATAAGGTAACCTCATTTCTACAGGAGTAGACCTCAAGATAATTATCTATTATTTGTAATAAAAGGTTGCTATTTATGTATACTCATATGGCTCCACTTGTGTCTGTGAACAAATAAGCAAGCCCCTCTACATTTAATTATGTGACTGGCAATAGTGAAATTTAATCCTAACATCAAAAACTTTGTTTCACAAACAATGTAAGAAATCCCACAGAGATGCTGTTTATTCTCTCAGTATAAACACTATACAGACTAAATAAAATATATTCTGTTCTGTATATTGGAAACTCCTGAAAGCCTATTGTGGGTTATCAAATGTGCTTTTATTACACACATCAGTGAAAAATTAGAGTACAGCATAGACTGGGTATCCCTTATCCGAAATTCCAAAATTAGGAAAGCTCCAAAATCAAAAATATTTTTCGAGTTCTGACATGACACCACAAATGGAAAATTCCAGTCGGCTCTAGGGAGGCTCCCAGGCACTACACAGGCCTCTTCATATGCAAACAGTTGCAACATGTGATCTCACATACCCTGGATGGGGCTCTGACACTGTTTCCGTCACTTTATCAACAGTCATCACTGTCAGACCTACGTGCATTACTCGCTGTGATTACAGTGTATTTTGTGTTCAGTCTCTGCTCTGCGGTGTGAATATATTGTTGAAAATGTCCAAAAGGCCTGTAGATACCCCTATGGGTAACTAACAAGAAAAAATAGTACAGTGGACCCCCGCTTAACGATCACCTCCCAATGCGACCAGTTATGTAAGTGTATTTATGTCAGTGCGTTTGTACGTGTATGTTTGGGGGTCTGAAATGGACTAATCTACTTCACAATATTCCTTATGGGAACAAATTCGGTCAGTACTGGCACCTGAACATACTTCTGGAATGAAAAAATATCGTTATCCGGGGGTCCACTGTATACAGTAACCTCGTAACCAAAAGACGGCATCATAGGTGGAGACCAAAAGCCTGCTGTTGTTTATTTCTTTTAAATAGCTGATGCTGCTGTGCTGCTTTTGTTATTAAAAATTTTGTTTTTGGTATTAAAAATATTGTGTAAAACTATCTTCAGGGTGTGTGTATAAGCTGTTTGTAATATATAAATGGATTTCGTGTTAGACTTGGGTCCTATCCCAAGATATCTCATTATATTTCAAAATCTAAAACACCTTCAGCACCACATATTTCAGATAAAGGATACTCAACCTGTATATGATTTAACTTTCTAAGATGTACTGGGATTTACATAAATGTTATGACCCCTGCTCATTGTCTTCATATGCTGCTCCAAAAGGTGAAAAAGTTGTCTCCCTACTTAAAAGTAATTGTTGGATTATTTTAATATGCTGTAATGGTTTTCTATCATGCTTTGATGTAGAGCTCTAAAGTATAATACTTGTATTATTAACTTCTGTCTACATTTGTATGATCTAATACTTATATTTTATGTACTCTGGTAATTTTGGAATAAAATTATTATTACTGATAGTAATATTATTAAAGCAAGTTATTTATATAATGATAAGGATCTCTGTTTATACCAAATACTTCTGTCAGTTGAGGCTTAACTGGTGACAGTAGATGAAGAAAAGGTGGATAGGAGGTTATACAAGAATGCAGTGTATTTTAATTTATTTTTTTATCAGAGCTACTCCCCCCATTTCGACCTTATCTGATGTTCCCAGTACTTGTGACACCCTCTACCAACCTCTGTTCAGACTTGGACTCTCCATAGAGCCTGGAACTACTTTTGAACAATCATTTCCTGAACCTGAGACTGGCATTTTCCCAATATCTCAATACCCTCAGGTACCTCTGATTCCTGCTTCACCTTGACATGAGATCAGCTTTCCCTATGAAACAATAATTTATGGATTACATGTTTGCCCATAGATGAAATGCGTCTTTGGCCATCTGCCATTACACCGTGACTGGGATTCAGTGAAGTTGGTACCATAACATGCACCCACCTGGAAATCTCTTCCCCTACAAGGCTTTAATAAACAATGCAAATGGAGCTGACCAGTCCATGAAATTATCACAGGTCCCTATCATTACACCACTGAAATATAGTGACATTCCTTCCTTAATTCACTACAGCAAGACTTTAGGCAATGCATCATGGATATCCAAAAGGAATTCAAACTACAGCACCTATCACCAAGGGTGGAACCTACCCTGAGTGATTATACCCAAGCAATATAGTCAAATCACCAGTTAACACTTAGAAATACTGTAAAAAATTTCAAAACACCACCCAAACAATGTCATAATTATTGGCATTTAGGCCACTCAGTGAAATGTTGCAGATCACAAGCAGAATGTAAAGTCTGCAGAGCAACGTGGAAAAACTACAATGCTTCTACTCCAGAGTTGGCAGCAACTTTTACACAGTCACTCCAGTGTCCATCCTTTAAAATGTTCTCACCTCTGCTGTTTCTGCTATAGGATGGTCCAACAGGAAAGGTCACTGACCAAGTTGCTGGTCAGAAAAAATCACCAGGATGATCAGAACATGTGGTATGTATGTATATTCTTCAATGACTTCGGTCTCCTCATAGCAACATCTCTGGCTTTGATTAGACAACTGTGGGCATATAAAATTAATAATATCCATAGTGAATTAGAAACAAAGCAAACACTATATACTCACAGGGATAACACAGTATAAGAAAGTGAACATTCAAGATAGCTAAGCATATGGCTTCGATGTACTGCCTCATGCCTCATGCCTCGTGCCACAGCTTTATGACTTGGCATGACCCACAATTATGCACACAGGAATAAGTCTTATAATCAAGCCTCTTGTGTTTGACTTAAAGATTAAATGAACAGGTAAGGGACAAAAGGCAATGGCAGATCCAAGATACTTCAGATGAGCAGCTTGGGCTTTCAGGGATGATTTCTGGGTATCCAGTACCCTTGATGAGAAGTTCTTTACATACTTGGTGAGGGGGATTACAATCTTTGTAATCATGGCCTTGCTGGGTGGCTTTGGCTCCCTCAGGATGGCATGTAATGTAAAGCCCAAACTAAATGTTGCCCTGCGCATTTGCCATGTACTGTGCCAGCTGATTTAAGGAGGCCCTGCCTGAATCAATCAGTTGACCTGGCATGACTGTCATGTCTGGTGGGGCTATGGCCAAGCAAGTACATGAATGGGCACCACTTTGCAAGCAAGCTATTGGTCACTCACATGTAGCCTTTGATCAGCCCTGCTGTCACTTATTTTAGCCAACAGGTAAGTCTTGCCATGTTGGGTTTGATGGTGGGTAGGGGAATAGGGAGATGAGGGTAATTACAATTGTTGTATGGATAATGATCACATATAGTACAAACTGCTACACTTGCTGATGACACCTACATGCCTACGGACTCTCCTCAGACTCTAGTATTGCTCTCAGGCACTCTGTTGCCTGACCCCAGTACCATCATTTTACTGTACCTAATCCCTTTGATACTTCTGACCTTTGCTCTACTTTGATAATGATCCCAGCTTCTCCCACAATATGGCGACAATTTCTGTATTGTTCACACTTCAAAAGGAGAGACTGGCTCAAAGTCATTATTCAAAAGACATGGACACATACTGTATGATACTGAGACTAATGTACCATCTCATTTACTTCCTAAGAAATATGCCACCTGAAAACCTCTTGTCCTATGGGATGTATATTTCAAAAACAAACTTTGGGAAACTTTTTTTCCTCCAGCCAGCAACAGCTGTGGATTACCATACAGACCATAGTATTAGCAAAGAACTCATGAAATCTGTCAGTCAAAATGTCTCATGCCCTCAAGAGTGGGATGCATGTTATTATCATACATAATGCAGACCAGGCTACCAACCTTTCCCATATTCACATTATCAACAATGTCCTGGTCACAATCCACAGGCATTCCTTCATCAATTTGAGATTTGGAACTGTCCTCATTCCACATGTTATAATACAACAATTTACACAATGTAGCCCCAGACATTCATGAGGAACACAAGCTCTGAAACCTTTAAATCAAGTAGAAGCTTATGCCTGCCCTACCCTTGTACAGAGATGTTATCCCAGCAATGTAACTAAAATGAACTCCAAATGCCAAGACCTTCCATACTCAGTTTATATTGACATCAGTGAGATTACTATATAGAAAGCCTCTTGTTATGCAGAGCATTTCAGGCAAATTAGGTCAGTTTTGTCACAGGATGCGACCCACACCAGTCGACTAACACCTAGGTACCCATTTTACTGATGGGTGAACATGGACAACTGGTATAAGGAAATATGCCCAGTGTTTCAACCCTCGCTGAGAATTGAACCCGGACACACCGCCATGTGAAGTGAGAGCTTTTGCCACCAGGCCATGGGCCACCGTCGATGTTCAGTTTTCTTTCTTCATAGAAAAAAAAAAGAGGGCCTTTCATACAATACAGTAGTAATTCAACATTAACTGCCCTCTTCAAGGCAGGTGAAATTGCTGACCCGGAGAGTGTACATAGAACTTTCAAGGCACACATAAGTATGATAAGGCACCTAAATTACTGGGAACGGTTGAAGTCCCCTGATTTGTATTCCCTGGAATGCAAGTGAGAGAGAGAGAAATTATAATATACACTTGTAAAATCCTAGGGGGATTAGTACCAGACTTGCACAAGAAAATCACTCCATATGAAAGCAAAAGATTCGGCAGGAGGTGCAACATTTCCCCAATGAAAAGCAGGGGTGCCACGAGTACACAGAGGCAGCACAAAGAGTGTCAGGGGCCCAAGACTGTTCAACTGCCTCCCAGCATACATAAAGGGGATTACCAACAGACCCCTGGCTGTCTTCAAGAAGGCACTGGACAGGCACCTAAAGTCAGTACCTGACCAGCCGGGTTGTGCTTCGTACGTCAGTTTGCGTGTGGCCAGCAGTAACAGCCTGGTTGATCAGACCTTGATCCACCACGAGGCCTGGTCTCAGACCAAGCCATGGGGGCGTTGACCCACAAAACCCTCTCCAGGTATACTCCAGGTAGGTAAACTAGTTAACCTACGCCAGATTTACCCAACATCCGCATCACCTAGTAGAAACAATTGCCATGGTCACACCAATGTTGAACCCCTTTGAAGTCCTCACCTCTCACGTTCTTACTTCTGCACCATCTACCATTCCTACTACTTCATCCAACCCTTGAAGGTTTAGCGCTTCATTTTTGATAATAATAATCGTATCCATCTCCCAAATTTCTCCACTTACACAGCCACCCCCCTGCCAATCCCCGTTCCCCCATCTATGCTTTCCACATTTCCATCACAAGACAAATCCAGCAATCCCCAAACCCCCCTACTAACCTATTGTCCCTTCATGCTTAACTATTGTTACCTGGAGGTTATTCCGGGGATCAACGCCCCCGCGGCCCGGTCCATGACCAGGCCTCCCGATGGATCAGGGCCTGATCAGCTAGGCTGTTACTGCTGGCCGCATGCAATCCAACGTACAAGCCACAGCCCGGCTGATCCGGCACTGACTTTAGGTATCTGTCCAGCTCTCTCTTGAAGGCAGCCAGGGGTTTATTGGCAATTCCCCTAATGCTTGATGGGAGGCTGTTGAATAGTCTTGGGCCCTGGACACTTATAGTGTTTTCCCTTAGTGTACCAATGGCGCCCCTACTTTTTATTGGGGGCATTTTGCATCGCCTGCCCAGTCTTTTACTTTCGTAGGGAGTGATTTCTGTGTGCAGATTTGGAACCATTCCTTCCAAGATTTTCCAAGTGTAGATTATGATATACCTCTCCCTCCTGCGTTCCAACGAGTACAAGTCAAGTGCTTCCAAGCGTTCCCAGTAGTTAAGGTGCTTGACAGAAGTTATGCGTGCAGTAAAGGATCTCTGTACACTCTCTAGATCTGCGATTTCACCTGCTTTGAATGGAGATGTTAATGTACAGCAGTATTCCAGCCTAGAGAGAACAAGTGATTTGAAAAGGATCATCATTGGCTTGGCATCTCTCGTTTTGAATGTTCTCATTATCCATCCTATCATTTTTTTTGCACATGCGATCGTGGCACTGTTGTGATCCTTGAAAGTGAGATCCTCAGACATTACTACTCCCAGGTCCCTTACATTATTTTTCCGCTCTATTGTATGGCCAGAGTCTGTAGTATACTCTGTTTTAGTTATTATCTCCTCCAGTTTTCCATAACGGAGTAGTTGGAATTTGTCCTCATTGAACATCATATTGTTTACCATTGCCCACTGGAAAACTTTGTTTATATCTTCTTGGAGGTTAACCGCGTCCTCAGCAGATGACAGCCTCATGCAGATCCTAGTATCATCCGCAAAGGATGATACGGTGCTGTGATGTATATCTCTGTCTATGTCTGATATGAGGATAAGGAATAAGATGGGGGCGAGTACTGTGCCTTGTGGAACAGAGCTCTTCACTATGGCAGCCTCCGATTTAACTCTGTTGACCACTACTCTTTGTGTTCGATTTGTTAGGAAGTTGAAGACCCATCTCCCCACTTTC